AACTGACCAGAGTATACATTTCAGAATTCAGATCCTTATATTCGTACGGAAGGCGATATATTGAATTCCTTTTCAGATCCTCAGGCAAACAGATAGACAGATATTCACCTTTATGTCTCTATGGGAACACGACAGGTACCCTTACGAGGGGAGAGTATCAACTCGGCGTTTATAAACCCTCTCTGCAAAGGAGGTCGGCGCATGGTGGGTTAGGTATATACAGTGTTTTTCATTGCAGAGAAAATTGTTGTTTATCTGCCTACCTCGTCTGCATTGAGAGAGTTGATGAATAATCATAAAAATATATCGCGTTTTAGTTACGAATGTTGAAAACAATATTCAAACTATATAGATTTATATTCTATGTACGTCTCACGATTCAAATTTCAAATTGATGCTTAGTTTTAGATCCGAGCAGCACAAGATTTTGCATGCATGGTCCTTATTACAACCAACGAAATTCAAAATGTAGCAGATGGCTACTGGGAAAACCACTATTCGGAAGGAGAGCGAATATAAAGCATTCCAGTTACGGTTGTTGGAAATATCATTCAGGTATGTTTCAGATTCAACATCAGTTTTAATTCTCATGGACTTTCTGATATGTGATGTTCAGTTGCAGATCCGAGAAGAAAAGTGTTTGTTACTTGTCAATGAATTGGAGAAAATCATCCAGTCAAGACGAACCAAACAGAAGATCCGCAAAGAGAACTGATCAGAGTATACATTTCAGAATTCAGATCCTTATATTCGTACGGAAGGCGATATATTGAATTCCTTTTCAGATCCTCAAGCAAACAGATAGACAGATATTCACCTTTATGTCTCTATGGGAACACGACAGGTACCCTTAGGAGGGGAGAGTATCAACTCGGCGTTTATAAACCCTCTCTGCAAAGGAGGTCGGCGCATGGTGGGTTAGGTATATACAGTGTTTTTCATTGCAGAGAAAATCGTTGTTTATCTGCCTACCTCGTCTGCATTGAGAGAGTTGATGAATAATCATAAAAATATATCGCGTTTTAGTTACGAATGTTGAAAACAATATTCAGACTTTATACATTTATATTCTTTGTACATTTCGCGATTCAAATTTCAAATTGATACTTAGTTTTAGATCCGAGCAGCACACTGTTTGGCATTCATGGTCCTTATTATAACCCACGGAATTCAAAATGTAGCAGATGCCCACTGGGAAAACCACTATTCGGAAGGAGAGCGAATATAAAGCATTCCAGTTACGGTTGTTGGAAATATTATTCAGGTATGTTTTAGATTCAACATCAGTTTCAATTCTCATGGACTTTCTGATATGTGATATTCAGTTGCAGATCCGAAATGCAAAGTGTTTGATACTTGGCAATAAATTGGAGAAAACCATCCAGTCAAGACGGACCGAATAGAAAATCCGCAAAGAGAACTGACCAGAGTATACTTTTCGAAATTCTGATCCTTATATTCGTACGGAAGGCGATATATTGAATTCCTTTCCAGATTCTCAAGCAAACAGATAGACAGATATTCACCCTTATATGTCTCTATGGAAACACGGCAGGTACCCTTACGAGGGGAGAGTATCAACTCGGCGTTTATAAACCCTCTCTGCAAAGGAGGTAGACGCATGGTGGGTTAGGTATCATACATTCCATATCAAAACCAGGAGATATTTCATATGACCACAACATGCTTATAGCTGCAGCCCTAGGGAAGCCCTTTCTAGGCCAATATGGAGAAAGAAACATTTCAACTAACAAAAATTCCAATTCTGTCATGTGTAGAATAATATTTGCAAATTTGGAAATATCCTTCAAAACAGCTCCTGAGGTTACCGTGGATTTATAGTAGATATCATCAATGGCCCAACCTAAGCAAGATTACTTCTAGCATCTTGGAGAATTTTTTATAGTACCACAGATATATTGAAAACCTGCAAAACTCTCACAGGTACCTTCTTCATGAATGGTGCTCCACTGCAACAATAATAGCAAATTGTCATGATCCTATATGTGTGTGATATGTATCCTATATCCTATATTTTTGATTTTGATGAAATCTGAGTAATCTGGAGTTCCACAACATAAAACTTTGTTCAGATGACCCAGATTATTTTCGTGAGTGATTATAGGTAGATAATTATTTCTTGGTATCATTTTGTTATGCTGAATTCATATGAATAAAAATATCTATATATGTATTTTATGGTCTGGAACTGAATTAATTGATTAATAATTTTTGAAAATGAATGTAGACATTGACATGTTTTTCACTGTATAAGTTCAATGCATTATAATGAATTAATATTTTGATCAAAGACCTACTTGTGTCTCTCCAAAGAAGTACTAAGAGATGGATCTACCAGTTTTCTTCTCCCCTCAGTGCTCATGTATAGTGTTTTCTCTCCTCCCCTTACACTTCAAGTGAAGATACCTTCATGAACATGTAGAATTATCGATGAATTTGGAATCCAGGACTTTTATTTATGTAGGAATAAATTAGTTATTTACGTGGTAGCTAATAGGTAGATATACCTCTTGTTGATTGAGGTACTTATGGAATAAAAATATGAACTTTAAAATCCAACAGGAAAATCAATACAAAAGTGAGATGGGCACTACAAATAGTTAATAATCAGTAATGATATATATCTATGAATCACAACTTTATCTTGTTTTCATTAATTGGAGCAATAAAAGTGGAAAAAGGTAAAGGATATAGGAAGTTTTTTCAATTCATCCATCAAATTCACATTCGATGCTCCACGATTATCCATTTTTCCATCCAACTGAACTGATTTTTCATCTTCAGAAAAGACCTCTTGAGTTTACTAGTGCAACCATCAACAGAACACAGTAAATTTCTTGGTTTCTGAGTGATATGTTGATTCATGATTTATGAAATAATGTAGAATTGTGTCACTAATTAATATAAAGTTCTTGTCCTATACTCAAGAAAATCATGAAAACAAAATCAAAGTGATTTGTAGAATGAATTACATGAAATATCAAATAAATGAACAGAATAACAAACAATAACAAAAATGACCTTGAATGCCCTGATAAACTGGTTCAAATGTGCCCACCAGATGACGGATCGGAATCATCACCTTGCCAATAGGTCACGTGCACGATGACCGACCCTGGTGGTAAAATATTGAAACACAACCTCACTTTTTTTATTTGTTTACACAGGAATCAAAGGATTGAAATAGTTATTCACAATATTTTGGCATACGAATCGTATTTTTGCGCTATTCATCAATTCCAAGTATGCCTTCTCATTGTGCCGTTGTACAATGCACAAAAAATGCAGCGGGAGACGAAGGAATATGATTTTTCAGGTAAATAGTAATCTTACATAGTTTTCATTATGAAATTTTGTCATTTCTTATTAAAATGCATTCTGCCACATCTGCAATAGAAGCTAATACTGCTAAAAGATTGTAAATGTCTACAACACACACGATCATATTTCGTCAGCATGTCAGACCAGTCCTCCCGTTTGATTGCATGAATCCAATCTTCTTGCATTCTTTTAGAAACGTCACGAGCATTTCTATCAGCTCCTATTGCAGAAGAAATCAGAGAAGTTACCAAATTCCAAAATGAAAACTATATGTGAGTGACTATAATAGTAGGTACTTACTTTTGAATCATAATGTACCAACCAGATTCCTTCGTCTTTCGCTGCATTTTTTTGTGCATTGAACGACAGCACAATGAGATGGCATGCTTGAATTAATGAATAGCCGAAAAACTATTTCAATCCTTTGTGAACAAATAGGTCGCGTGCAAGAACTGTCAGATGACCGACCCTGGAGGCAAAACATATTTGTTTACAAGTGATCGAAATAGTTTTCCACAATTATTTTGGCATATGAATCGTATTTTTCCGCTATTCATCAATTCGCTAATGCCATCACATTGTGCTGTTGTAAAATGCACAAAAACTGCAGCAAAAGATGAAGAAATCCGGATGGTACATTATGATTCAAAAGTAAGTACCTACTATAGTCACTCACATAGTTTTCATTTTTGAAATTTGGTTATTTCTCTGATTTCTCATCGGAATTCCTTCTGCAATAGGATCAGCTAATAGAAATATACCTGAAATTTCTAGAATAATGCAAGAAGATTGGATTCATGCAATCAATCGGTAGGACTGGTCTGACATGCTGACGATCGTGTGTGTTGTAGACATTTTCAATCTATTAGCAGCATTAGCTTGAATTGCAGAAGTGGCAGAAGGCAGAAGGAATTTTAATAAGGAATGACATTTCATAATGATAACTATGTGAGATTACTATTTACCTGAAAAAAGCATATTCCCTAGTCTCTTGCTGCATTTTTTGTGCATTGTACAACAGCACAATGCGAAGGCATGCTTGAATTAATGAATAACGCAAGAAACACGATTCGTATGCCAAAATATTGTGAAAAACTATTTCAACCTTTTGATTCCTCTGTAACCAAATAAAAAAGTGAGGTTGTGTTTCAATAATTCACAGAAGAATGAGGTTGTGTTTCAATAATTCACAGAAGAATGAGGTTGTGTTTCGATATTTTGCCTCCAGGGTCGGTCTTCGTGCACGCGACCTATAAGAAAAGTGAGGTTGTGTTTCAATGTCATAATTATTTGTTCTCAAGTCAGGTTAGGTTATGTTAAGTCAATTGTCATATTTGGATTGTTAATTGACAAGTATGAAATATGAAGGTCTTTACTTGATTCCACAATATTCCTAGAAGTATAAGAAGAAGAATATAACCAGAAGTCTGTCTGTAGAATAAGTGTTAACTCATAGATGAAAAACCCCACTTCACTTTGAGTTACCATGGACTCCTTCCAAAGATCAAGCGTTAACTGTTTGAGGTTATGATATAATATGTGAGAAAAAACAAACTAATACAAATTGATTGGGACTTTTCTACAAATTATATACGAGACAAGGGAAAGTTTATGTTCTTGAGAACAACGACAAAGGTCTCTGCAAATTCCGTACTTACCGGCTTGATGTCATTGTCGAGAGCATGTAAGAAGTCCATCCGGGAAACCAGCAGTTTTTCGATGGCCTCGGGATCAACTTCCACCTTAGTGGCGGCTTTTATTAACCGGTTCATGGCCGTAGACTGAGCGGCCCTTACCAAACCTTCGATTTCGGCACCGGAGAAATTCTTTGTCAACGTTGCCAATTCCTACGAGACAAAAACGTTTTCAATATTGGTTGAAAATCCACCTATCACAATGGAATGATACAATACGATTCACTACCAGATAACTTGAAACTGATTAATAGGATTGAAAAACTTGAAAAGGAATTTAAGAAACATCTACTCCTGTCATATTGACATCTTATCTCATTTTTATAGTTTTCTCGTACAACTACTATAGTTTTCCATTGGGTACCTAACAGCTGAGTCAATTAAGAATCATTTTCAGTTGTAAAAATATATACTCATGACACTATAAACGGAGCAATTTATTCTCATTTGAATACTTGGAATGATTTTATTTTAATATTATTATGTTATATTGACATATCTTGTTAATTAGCTTTTTTTATTGTTATATACAGTCTGTCCAAGATAAGGTTGAACAGCATGGGGATCTCGAAAACGGTAAGAGATACGAAATCGGTTAAATGGGGAAGAAGTTGCGCATTCGGAGGCTCATATCAAGAGCCTTCGAAAATTTTGAAAATTATTTTTAGTTTTTGAGTTATATCGAAAAAAGTGAATTTTTGGAATTTCTATTTTTTTTTTTTTTTCTCCATTATTAGAGATACAGCAGAACTGAGAATACTTTTTCATAGCAACTTTTGATGACGGTCAACGTGGTGATACCGATTTTTTCATGCGACGTTTCGTATTCGTGGAACCATCATCAACTTTTGTTTTTTAAATACGGTCCTGATAATTTTTTCACAGATTCTAAAAGGTTTTTTTATTCTGAATTCAACCATGTATTATACAAGGTGGTTCATTTGTGTTTCGACCTATTTTTGGCCATCATCAATGTTTTTTCGAAACTCCAAAGGAAAAATGCCATCAGTTCCACTTATTTTGAAGGAAAATTAGTCAACACACTAATACCTCATCAACTGGTTTCAATCAACAACCCATTTCATTTTGCAGAAACAAAAATTCCATCCATACAAATTCAGAATATGTCAAGCGCTAAAACCAGGCGATGACGAAAGGCGCAAGACATTCTGTGAGTGGTATACCAGGAAATGTTAAAATTTTGCAGATTTCTTTCGAACAATCATCTGGACTGATGAAAGCATGGTCACTAATCATGGTAGCTTCGATAGAAAAAATACACATTATTGTTCACGAGAAAATGAACATTTATACATTACAGCGAGACACCACACCAACACCGTTTCGACTTTAATATGTGGGTTGCAATATTTGGTACACGAATTATTGTTCCTTCTATTTACCATGAAACACAGACTTCCGAACGTTATAGAAATTCGCTTGAGAATCATCTTGATTCTGGATGATTTACCGATTGCGGAAGTTCAGAACTCTGTTGGTTTCAACAAGATGGCGCTCCGGTACATAATTCCAGAGAAGTCCGTGCGTTTTTATCCCTTGGCCGGCGCGGTCGCCTGATTTGACACAGCTGGATTTTTTCTTAGGGGATATATCGAACTTTGTCCACGCAAATAACTTTGAGGATGAAGAAGAACTAAGGGACAGTGTCTTGGAAGCATTCAATAGAATAACCCCAGAAATGCTTAGCAATGTCTTAGAAACAACTGTGAGAAGAGGATATCTTTGTTCAGAAAATAATGTTTATCATTTTGAACATTTCTTATGAATGTCTCTGTAGGTATTGTCAAAGTTAAGTTGTTAAAGTAATTCGTGTAAGAATTCATCAACAATTTTAAACGCTGCATTGATCGAATGATGTAGTGAAATATTTTTTATTCACTTTTCAGTATTGAATAACTAATCCATCAAGTTTGACACTAAATGATAAGAAATAAGTGGAACTGATGGCTTTTTTTCTTTTGGAAGTTCGAAAAAACATTGATGATGGATAGAAATAGGTCGAAACACATTCGAATCACCTTGTATAGTACATTGTTGAATTCAGAATGAAAAAACCTTTCAGAATCTTATAAAAAATTATCAGGACCGTATTTAAAAAACAAAAGTTGATGATGGTTCCACGAATACGAAACGTCGCATAACAAAATCGGTATCACCACGTTAAACCTCATCAAAAGTTGCAATGAAAAAGTATTTTCTGTTTTTCTGTATCTCTGATAATAACGGAGAAAAAAAAATAAAATAGAAATTCCAAAAATTCACTTTTTTCGATATAACTCAAAAACTAAAAATAATTTTCAAAATTTTCGAAGGCTCTTGATATGAGCCTCCGAATGCGCAACTTTTTCCCCATTTAAGCGACTTCGTATCTCCTACCGTTTCCGAGATCCCCATGCTGTTCAACCTTATCTTGGACAGACTGTATATACAGGATGACATAGAAAACAGTACATTGCATAGTGCCACACTATAGAGGACACTAAAATAAGGAAAAAAGTTCCTATGAACATGGGTCCGCAAGGCCTTCGGTTAAAAGATACGTGTAACAACACAATATAATTGTTGACAAGCTGTGAAAAACAGTATAATTTCAAAATTATGATCAGCACTGTTCATTTATCTATGTCTCTCTCACCTTGAGGTCGACGTCGGGACTAATTTTCTTATACTGCTTCATCCTATGAGTGTGTATATCTAGAATCTGCAATCTGCCTTCTTCGTTAGGCAAACTGATCTCCACTTGAACTTCCAATCTGCCTGGCCTCATCAGTGCCTCGTCGATCATGTCTCGCCTGTTGGTCATGCCTTGAAAAGAAATGAACTGCCTGACAAAAGCAAATTTGGAAAAAAAATCTTTTATTCATGAAGTCAAAAGTCAAAACCATCACTTTCAATAAGAGGTCTTAATTTTGTCTTTGTAGCTCTTACACACGGAACCCCATCATAAAAAGTTATACATCATCTTATTCCCCCCCATTTGGTGTCAACTAAAGAACTATTGATATCAAGACAATATTATTCAATTCTCAAATCCATCCAACTAACTGTCGAGAAGAATTCGAAAAGGATAGAGGGATATGGGAGGTAGAGAAACGAATAACATTTGCCGATTTCAGATCAAAGCTTCGAAAGACTGAGAAATGAAAACGATCAATTACAAATAACAATGCTTTGTGAGAGTTATTTATTAAAACATTCTTGTGCTAAAAGAGAAGAAATCACGTCACTCTCTGATGCATCAAATTGTTGGAGTCGTCAGTGTTGAGACATGACAATCACAACTGTTTTTTCCTTTATTTATTTTTCTTTTCGCGATTTGATGGGGATTTAGATTGTTGTCAATTGAAAGCTCAGAATTGGCGAAAGCTAATGTAAAATGGAAAATGATGTTCTAAAAGTGTTATTGGAGTCCTTGTCTCTAGATCCAGAAGTTCTAGCAGTTCTTCTTATAGTTTCCAGGATGAAATATTGTTTATTTTGGGGTGTAGACGAGATAGGTTGACAATTCTCAACAACCTATATACAAAACATTGCATTTCTGTTGGTACTCAAGTTTCCTGAATGTTTGCACTAATTTCTTCAATTTCTGTTGGTGTCAATAATGCAGTTATTCTTTTATTTTTATATTCTAGGCTGGTTTCGATCAATTTGAGTTGGAATAATTTGATCACCCAACGAATTATGAGATGATGAAATAACAATTAAACATTATATTCACAACCTTACAATATGAAAGTCTAATTTTAACTTTGACAGAACAACTGTCACAACATGCACGCGCTGCCAATAACATGACATCATGCATAGAGAACGAATTTTCATTTAAGGAATAGCACATCACATTATCCTCACACAATGACCTTAACTTTAATCAGGTCGTGAAAAAAGAGAAGATGTGCATGAGCGTCCTAGAACACCTTAATTAGGCCATGAAATATCATGAACAGAAGTATTTGTACCCTTACAAACTAGTGAGAGTATTGGAGTTTGCATATTTTTTCATTAGTGATATAAGTGTGAAAGTTGGTAGTGGGATTTGATGCATGAGGTGGTAGACATAGCGCACCGATGACATCTTTTAGACGATGACTTACCGATTACCAGAATGTTGTTGAGTTGTTCTACGCCATCGATTTTCGATAGCAGCTGGTTCACAACTGTGTCATGGACTCCAGTGTTGCCTGCCACCGAGCCTCTTTGCTTGCAGATGGCATCTATTTCGTCGAAGATGATTATGTGCAGTCCGCTGTTCGGACCTGCCTGTATATGTATCAATTCATTTTATTTAGCTAGCAATAATTTGTGCACATGTATCAGACAACAATTTTAGAACAATTTTTTTTTAAAAGTGGAAGGCAAAGTTATCTTCGTCAGACAAATTAAATGGAGTAGTAGTTTTGGGAACTTGTACTTTCGGAATTAACTCAGCACAGAGAAAGATGCACTTGCAAGGAATTACAGGATTGAGGCAAGCCAAAGATCTCCTCGGCATTTTCAAGTGAATACCGCACCCATCCGTTACCACCGATACAACAAGGCCTGCATGCTCCGTGGGTGACGTCACTTAGTGAGGCCTAACCAGCGGCTCGAAACGACAAGCGCTTATAGCGCTATAAGGCGACCGCGTATTTCGATTTTAGTTTTAGATCATCATTGAGCCGATTTTGCTGTTTTTTGAAGGGCTTCCGGTTAAAAAAGGATGCCAGTCGTCAACTGAGCCCTTCTTCGCACCCCATTCGATTTTATTATGGAAAAACGAAGTTTTAAAGCAAGAACCAGGATAAAACACAAATATCCACCTACAGCAACCCATTCGAATTAAATATATTTGCAAAAATTGTGGTGAAGGTAAACTTCACACCTACTTATACAGGGCCCGCAGAACATAAACTTATCGTGAGATTGATGCATTTATCATGCGATAGTTGAATTATATATAAATTGTCCAATATGATGAAAAAAGAAGGGAAATTTGTTCTAAATGCCATCCAGAAGACAGGTGAAAAAGAAGGTGAAATTTGGAACTTTTTAGTCAAATATCTTCATGATAAATATCATGATAAATGCAGTTTTACCTTTTCAAGTAGAGTGTTTGTAGTTCATGTTAATATGATAGTTGCAATTTGATCATTGGAATGAATTCTGCATTCATTGCCACGAGGCAAATGACCGTTTTCAGAAAGAAATTTGAGAATGAGAATTAAAAATGCCCGTTTATTATGAACATTCAAGAAAATTTCCTCGAATCAGGAGATGATTTTGTTGACTATAATATACGAATACAAAACTACCTGCACAATCAAAGCTTTTCTATTTTTCCTCTACTTATACTTTTTATGAGAGAGTAATTGTATTCTATTATTAATTGATCATTATAAATTAAGCTCTGTTTACTACTGAACTTAGATGGAGTAAAATCCTCGCGGTGAATTGCATATACCCACATTTTCGATAGCTCCTCGTCCAACGGGAAACTAAAAGCATGAACTTTTGAACCACCCACATAATTCCCCCGACAAAAGGGAACACAACACTTGAAAGGCATTGTTATTTCGCCGATCACAACACAAAATATTTCACAGAACAGTAATTTTTCCGCCAATTATTTTGATGAATAAACAACAAAAGAATTCGGGACCGTTTCAAAAACATACGTGAATCACCGATGAATTAACACGAACTGACGCGTTAGTCGACAAGCGATAAAATAAAACACTGGCCTCTCTTGGTGACGTCACGAGCTGTTTACGTCAGAGTCTGCTGGCCTTGTTGTATACAAGCGGAGAAAGTACTCCACACAGACCCCTCAAAATCCTCAGATTCCTCAGGGAACTGCAGTTGAGTTGGGAGTTCTGCTATGAACAAGCATCCTTGACAAACAGAGAAAATGCGTTCTCTAGTTTGGCACAAAAGATCTAATCGAGTTGCAGCGCATGTCACCACCCTAACCACTTATACCAATTCGAGAAAATCACACACCGATAGATGGCGCTAAATGAACGTCAAATTTTGAAGTGTAGGTGGTCAGGTTAGGTTTCATTTCAAATAAGGATACAATGTAAATTGACAAATTGGTCACATCAAAATCCATATTTGAGATAGAGTCACTGGATGGTATTAGTTCGAACAGATAAATGACAACTGTTAGTTTTTTTGAATGTTTAGATTTATCAAGTTTATTGTTTGAATTTGACAATGAATTTTATGAACGTCAGAATTGAAATAAAATCTCATGTACTATTGAGAAAAAAGCTATTTGAAAAATTGCGAGACAGGCAAAATTTGTGAGGTGAGTACATTCATTAAAATTCACTTCTTATAACAGCGGATTGGGATGAAACTATATTTTAGGCCCATTTTCAAACAGAAGATTTGAAAGATCCGTTGTTCCATTGATTTACAAAACAGACTATGGAAAAAAGTCCAATATTATCATCACGAGAAATGGGAATAATGTAACTGAGGAAATTAACATGATATAATATCATTGAATGGCGTTTTCAATACCGACCAAATAAAAATTTATCAATGGAAAGTGAATGCAGCAAAAGGTGAAAAATCAAAACAATCTTCATGTTCTGAACTTTATCACTCGGGTACAGTTTTACATACAATAAGGAACAACCTATAAGTATATCCATGTGTCTATTTTGTCATATTAAAATGTTGTTACATGAATTATTTTTATTTTTATAACTATGGTTCTACGAAATGTGTATCACTGTTTGTGGGACACCCTTGTAAGGATACCTTTATAAACCAGATTCTAGGCTTTTATTAGCAAAATACAAAATAGGAATAGGTCGCGTGCACGAAGACCGACCCTGGAGGCAAAATATTGAAATACAACCTCATTCTTCTGTGAATTATTGAAACACAACCTCACTTTTTCATTTGGTTACAGAGGAATCAAGAGGTTGAAATAGTTTTTCACAATATTTTGGCATACAAATCGTGTTTCTTGCGTTATTCATTAATTCAAGCATGCCTTCGCATTGTGCTGTTGTACAATGCACAAAAAATGCAGCAAGAGACTAGGGAATATGATTTTTCAGGTAAATAGTAATCTCACATAGTTAGCATTATGAAATGTTGTCATTCCTTATTAAAATTCCTTCTGCCTCCTGCCACTTCTGCAATACAAGCTAATGCTGCTAATAGATTGAAAATGTCTACAACACACACGATCGTCAACATGTCAGACCAGTCCTACCGATTGATTGCATGAATCCGATCTTCTTGCATTATTCTAGAAATTTCAGGTATATTTCTATTAGCTGATCCTATTGCAGAAGGAACTCCGATGAGGAATCAGAGAAATAAACAAATTTCAAAAATGAAAACTATGTGAGTGACTATAGCAGGTACTTACTTTTGAATCATAATGTACCATCCGGATTTCTTCATCTTCCGCTGCAGCACAATGTGATGGCATTAGCGAATTGATGAATAGCGGAAAAATACGATTCATATGCCAAAATAATTGTGGAAAACTATTTCGATCACTTGTAAACAAATATGTTTTGCCTCCAGGGTCGGTCATCTGACAGTTCTTGCACGCGACCTATACTGACAACTAATGACAACAGTTATTGACATAATCAAAATGTCAATGATACAGAGTGAAGTAGCTGGATAACACATACAGTATCATCACAACCCTTATTGATTAATAGTTTATTTGACGCAGAGTTGGTTGATTTTGTATTGATTGTCCTATTTTCCTATATCTGAGAATATTCCTATTCGAAACCCTATCACGACTCACCCGCTTCTCCTCCTCCTCCGCATCGGCGAACAACCTTCGCACGTTCGCCTCCGACTCGCCCACGTACTTGTCCAATATCTGCGGGCCGTTGACGATCTTCGGCTCGCGCGCGTTCAGCATCTTGCCGATCTGGCGCGCCATCAGCGTCTTCCCGGTGCCGGGCGGGCCGTACAACAGGATGCCCTTGACGTGCTTGCAGCCCAGCTGCTCGACGATCTCGGGCGGGAAGACGCGAGACGCGAACGCTCGCCGGAAGATGGCGTTGAATTCGTCGGTGAGGCCGCCGATGCCCATCGTGCGGAAGTCCCAGCCAGGGTTGATGATCGATTGTCTCACGATTTTGCTGCGGACACGAATACAAGATGAAGTTGCACGGCATGATGGGGATCATCGGAAACGGGAGGAGGTACGAATTCAGGGGTGCGTTCGAATACGTACCCTGTGGAGTAGAGTTTACTCATGAGCTTTTTGGATGTATGATAAATTGGATACAGTGGAGTAATTGAATGCCAATAATTCATTATCAGTCCACTCGCCCATTCACAGTGCTGCCATGTCAAACGAAAGAGGGATCGTTGCGCCAGAACGGCGAATGCCAGTACTATTTGATTGTTTACATTTTACATTGTTTGGTTTATGTTAATTTCGTTTTGAGTTCTCAATCAATCTCAGCTTTGATATTTGTGTATTTTTTAAATCCGTGTTTTCCAGTGGTTCATTGTGTTTTGATTGAGGACAATAATATCTCTGATGTTTAACAGTAGAACACCTACCTACCTCTAGTTGGAATGTTGAACCTAAAACCTATACCAACATAATGATAAGCTGTAAGTTTTTATCATTATTGAACAAGAATTCTTATGATTTGGCCATTTAGCCTGTGCATTTCAATCTGTCTACACTTTTTCAGTGATTCAGTGTCTCCAAAATGAAGCTGAGCTCATAAATGCGGGCCACCTGATTTTGGCTGGTCAAATGGATGCAAATGATTGCATTGAAGTATAATAAGTATTATGCCTTATTATGTTTACAGTCCACTGTGTGTGTCAGGTAAGAAGAACTCTCCCTAATAATGATATTGGTAAACTCCTGAAACTCAACTCTATATCATTGTTTTCAGGAAGAATGTGGGATCTTCCAGAGATATAAATATGCTTGGTTGACACAAAAAGCAATCAACAGAGGGACTAATACAATCAGTATTCCTGTAGATGAGATGCCCTGTTTCAAGAAAAAATGAAGAGACCAGTTATATGAAACATAATGAATATTCTCAATTTTCCTATCACAAACAGGGTGGACGAGCAACTTCTTTTCTGGAAATGTCAAACCTGTCCTTGGTAGTTGTACTTTTCAAATAAATGCCACAAAGATCAACTATTTTTTTGTGTTGTATGTACCTACATGTTTGCTTCATAACTGGCACTTGAATGAAAACAGTTATTGAATAATACTTTTAACATCCAAATACTTCAAATTCCACTTTAATTAATCCCCAGAGGAACCCTGAAATCCATTCAGAAATTAGGTCTTTCTCATGTCTTTTCTATGCCTTTATAAGACTCAGACGAGACATTATAAAGATATCTTAAAGACGTCGTGATTTTTAACATCTGGCTTATAGAGGACGTCTTTCAGACGTCTCTAAGGCGTCCATAGACGTCTTAAAGACGTTGTGAACGTCTGAGAACGATGTCTTTAGGATGTCTTAAAGATGTCTTTGTGCTATCTGGGGTGGGTGTGGAAAACTACCAGCTGAGCGTGAGAGCGGGCCAATGCTGGTTAGTGGCCCTCCTCTAACGGGGGTTAACGAGGTAGCTGGCAGGCCTGCCACTGCAGCATATGGTAGTACAACCGTTTCAATTCCATTTATTCAATAAAAACATCTTTACAAAATCTTCTAAAGGGGACATTGGACATGATAAAAATGTAAAACATACAATGTAGAACACTCAGATACGCTTCAGAATTACCCTCCAAGGGAGCCCTCATAGGCAGCCGATGCAGGCCTTGCCGATGATTTTTGTCTAACAACCCTGATGGCAGTCATGAGGGAGCTGACTCCTAGGAGTAAGCCTTTAATCCAGCTCATGTCAGTGAGTTGCCCAGGGCAAAAAAGATTGATCGTCGATTGCTACCTTGTTCTCTCTAATTTAGCATTTTTTGTGTTGGAAAATAAAAGTTCTCTGTGAAAGACACTATGAGGGATGAGGGATGGGATAGGTGTGGGATCTAATAGACTGATTTCGTATCGGTAAATATAATAGTTTTGTTAGCCGATTGGCGTGCTAAGTCCTGCTCCATGGTAATGCTCCGATAGTCGGTCAGCCGGACCACACAGCGTGTAGACTATACGGCCCGGCCAAACGACTACAGTTCTCGTTCAGTTCAGCTTCTAAGCTGTTTGTTGTCTAGAGGGAAGGGTTGGGAGTTATTCAGGGGGTTCCCTGAATACATCGCTGGCCTCATATATCAGCTCATGTTTCCTACGGATGTCATGATCTGCCCTTATTCTCGTTATATCTCTTGTGAGTTCGCTATTCTGAATGTGATGTTTATAAAATTTATTTGAAACGTTAATGATGTAATCTTTAATCATGGGCAGATCATGACATTGAGCATGCATGTCAGCCACTCTCCTATTACCGTTAATAATGATTCGGAGTACCTTGTTCTGTAGCACCTGTAGCCTCTTCAGTTGAGTGGCGGAGGCGCTACAGTACACCGGACAAGCGTATGTAATCACAGGTCTTATCACTTGCTTGTACAAGAGCAGTTTGTTATCTATTGTTAGTCCTGGTAGTACAACCGAAACACTCTGAAAGAAAGTGGATGGACGGTATCTGAAGGTCATATCTTTCATTTTCCACTCGAAATTAGGGCTTTCCATCTTCATCATTATATGTATCTTTTCGGTTTAGTAACCGACAAAATTTAGGACTGACTCTTATGTATGATGGCCTTCGGACATTTCTATACAAGGAAAGACAATGCCAGACGACGAACGGGGAAATATGGAGATTGTATAGTACCAGTCACTCGAAATTAGAGCTTTCCATCTTCATCATTCTCTCTAGGTTGTTCAGAGCACTTTCTTCCACCCATATACAAAACTCCAGAACTACATGATTAAATCGTTCTGTGCCTGTGAAAAGTACCATACCGCTATAGATTGAAGTGGGTGTTAATACCCTAATTCAATTTTCAATCTATGGCTATGATTGATTTGACAGATAATGTAACCTCTAAAATCGTATCTGACAATCAGGCGCTATTAGGGAAATTGAAAAGACAAAGAGCAAGATATATGTCTTATTCTTTTATTCACTCAAGCATTGTAGTTTAGAAAATAGAAAAGGACAGAAGTTCAGCTGTATCCGAACTCTTATCTACTGATACGACACGCGCATACACGCGGTTATTTATTAGACTCAATTTTGGTTTGTTTAACGCAAAATGGAATACCTTCGTTGAATATTCTTCAAAATGAATACTAGTTTGTGGAATCTTTCGTGTTGTGTTAGGCAGAATAACTATACTTTATAAGTGTTGTCTACTAGAGTGCCGAGAGAATCATAAGAATGGTTCAAAATTTCATTTTTTTATAGTTTCCCCTTGGCTGTCGACCTGTCTAGGAAGTAGATAGCAGCCATTCACTGAAAGGTTTTCATTCCATCCAAGTACAGTAAGGTCTGTGAAAACTGATATATTTTTACAATTTATTTCAACTGCAATTTATTTTGGTTTTTGCTTTCAAACTGTTTTTTTTTTTAATAAAATCGAATGGGATGCAAAGAAGAGCTCAGTTGACGACTGGCATCCTCTTTTAAACTTCATAAAACAGCGAAATCGACTCAACTAAAATTGAAATACAGGGTCGCCTTCAGTACCATAAGGTGCTTGATCCTCTCAAGTTGCTTTTAGCCGGCCTACCTGAGGTGACGTCACCGAGGAACGTGCAAGCCTTATTGTATTGGTGGTGAAGCTCAGTGGCAGTTTATCAATGGCAGGTCCAATTTTTATCCAGCAGTAAAACTGTCTAGTAGTTATTGGTTAGTTTCAACTGACGGATGTCAGATAATTGCAGGCTAGTCCATATTAATACACAAACAAAGAGCCAAAGGCCATTATAGGTTGAAATTAGGGTTGGTTTACCAATGTCATGCTAATGCACACTAACTATATCTTCTAGTTGTCAGCCAAAGTGATTATGCTTAAAAAAATTAAACTGAAGACTATTTCAGGATTTTAACTGTTTTATGAAGTCAACATGACCAATGAATAAAGATGTATTAGATATTGCTTTATGGTGTTTTATTTCAATTTTCTGTCTTTGTGTTTTATCAACAACATGATCAAAAACTACAAGGACAAAAAGTGTTGATGATACTTGCTAGTGTTCAAGGATAATCCTTGGCCAGTGTTCACATGCTTCAGGGTCGGAGTCGTCTTCTTCTGTTTTTTATACAAAGATGATGAGACATAAGCTACATAATATAACATTAACTGACAAGATACTTAGAATCTCCTCTATGTTACTTGACCAAAAGCAACACTTCTGATTCAAGCATATTTTGAAATTTTGGTAAAACTGCATTTAGCATGCGATGGATTTTTTTTCGAAAAATTTGTTTGGTACTTACGTATTTTTGTCTGAAAAGCACGAATTTGATAATGAAAATGTGAACACACCACTATTTCTCGGGATATTTCAAAAAGTTCCTTTTTCCCCTTGTGTTGGATGCATTTTCAGGTACTTGCTCTTCTTATTTTGTCATTGGACACTTTATATACTCCTGATGTACTTCAATGACACATTTTTATAAAGAAAATTCAACAGGAAATATGATTTTTATGGCAAGTTTTTCATATTCAGTGAACAAGCATACCAGATGACGGCCATTTAATTAATAGTCAATCCAAATACGAGATGTCAAATGTCAACAGATTGCTTTTGAATGACATTACACACGCCATTGTTTCAAATGATATTCTTCCTTCTTTCCAATAAATATGGATAAATCACAAGAAAATCATATTTCTAGTTGACTCAATAATAGAAAAAAATGTGTCTTGCATTGTGATATATATAAATTGTCCCTATGATGAAAAAAGAAGGGTAAATTGTTTTAAATTCAATCCAGAAGACAGGCGGAAAAGAAGGTGAAATTTGTAACTTTATAGTGAAATATCTTGATAAATAATGGTTTGTTCACATTTTCATTATCAAATTCGTGTTTTTCAGACAAAAATACGTAAGTACCAAAAAAAAATTTCGAAAAAAAACCCATCCCATGCTAAATGCAGTTTTACCGAAATTTTTATTGGCTTGAAAATATGTCAGCAAGTGAACAAATTAATTTTGAAGTAAATGAGTTCAGCAATGTTGATGAAGTAATAGTAGAATCATAGAACATGAAAGAACACAGCAAGAACATATTATGTCAAATGTTTGTGTAAAGAATTCCCATTAGAAACAACAACCAATCATATCCATCACATCTATTCATCACTAATGACAACATTATTTACCTGTAACCTGTAATCTGGGTATCATGAAATGCATGCAATCCCCCTGTACATAAACATAATACATAGAAGCAGGAGACATATTAAAAAAAAATACAATTTTGTTTATTACTGTAACTAGTAAATAACTAAGGATGAATGGAACAAGGCATTTTAATCATACTTGAAATTGTAAAAGAACTTCTATACCAACTTGATTGTGCCCATCTAGAACCTTTGATGTATTTTTGTAAAAAAAGATTCATACCCTTTAGATTTTCCTACAAGGTTCAGTGCAGAATTTTCAGCTTTCTCAAACTGGATAACAGTATTAGGTATGAGTTGTCCCAGCTTTGCTTTTCTTGGTTTTGCATCACCCCCAGATTTTATTGTAGCAGCTTCAACCACTGAATAAATAAATGATTAAATGAGTAAATATGTGAATCAAATATTAAAATTAGTTCATAAGGTAAAATATTCACTGAAAATTTTACCTTCTATATCTTTTATGACTAGCAGAAGCAGTTTTTTGTCCTTGAATGAAAAAGCTAGCTGTTGACCAACAGTGAACATCTGATTAGGAAACATTGATGTGAACTCTGTGGCCATCTCATCAGAGTCATACTGATCCTGTGAAGTTCTAGATATTGAAACATAAAACAATTATTAAATCCCACACATAAATCATCAGTATTTACGTTTTTTTCTGCATATAATCAGCCTCAAGAACAATGGATGATATATATTCTGTAGGTTGATAGGGTTCAACATTGATTTCTTGATTGAGGGATAATACTGCCCACTTTCTTTGGGGTAAACTGAACCCCACATGGTGTGAAGGAACACTGGAGTGGCTTTTGATGGAGAAGAGGAAGTTTTGACCACCACCTGTGTGCACTTTGATGTGCCTACAAATATAATGTTGAATGAAAATTGCATGCCACAAATCCCCAAGAGTATTACTTGGCCCCAGGGAAATCAGCATCATTGACTATGGCACAGTTAGACAATGATAATTCATCTGTTGGACACTTGGAAACTTTATAGACAGCCTAAAACAGAAAGAAGACAAGTGAAACTATCACACTACATACTTAATATTCAGGAACATCCCATTGCATAGGATTTATTGAAATATCAACTTAGAAGGAATATATGCCTACCATTTCTTCAGTAGTGTTTAAAAAATGGAATAAAGTTTTATACACACTGCAAACTGCAATGCAGACTGGGCGAAACTAATCAATACTAAACTGTCAAGTTTCATATGATTTCTTCTTTTAGAGCTAAGGATCTTGCCAAATTCTATTTTGCAAATTACATATCAGGCTACGTATATTTAAATGATATGAGTATCTGTAGTTAGTGGACGTGGAAACACTGCTATTATTTTGAAATTAAAATTCATTTATTTTCATTATTATGAATTTATGCAGTTCAGCAGCTGTTTTCAGGTTAGCTTAAAAATCAACCCAACTGTCAAGTGTCAAGTAATTTTCAATTTTCAGTGTTGCCACTGTTGCCAACTGCTGCAATTGAAATGCAAAAATCCATGAGAAAAGAGAAAGTGGCTAGCGAGCTAAGCGTACAAAAAAAGCCCAGCGCAGACCAAATTTGTGAAATTAGTGACTCCTATTCGTGATTCAGCATTAGCGTGATACATTTGATGTCATCAGTTACATGTGTTCCCTTCGTTTTCATGTCAACGCAACGTCAAATGATGACCTTGGCGACCGCGCCAGTGAATAACGTAAAATTATGAAAATTTTATGTTGGCAACACTGAAAATGAGAAGAAATGGGGAAGAAAAATAAGAAGAAGAACTGTCTCTTCTATTTCTTCTCATTTTTAACAACACTATCAAAACTCGTTCGTCGATAGAACTGCGAAGCTTTGAAAATCTTTGCCAATGGAAGTATATTACCAAGAACTTAAATCCTCCAAAAGTTCAAAAAACTTTCCAACACATATTTCCTCTCCCTGTCATTCCTGGGAATGCCTGATGTTCCACGAACATTATAGGAATTTCCTTTCGTGCGCTCCAAGAGATAAAAAAACATCTCACTCTATATATCTAGTTGAACTTCTCTATGTAAATTCATCAAGTACAAGGGACGACAAGGGCGTACATATTTCATTTTTCTGGGTGTGGAGAAAAACGGTACCTTGCGCTCCAAGATTTGAAGTGAAGTGACGTGGAATATTCCACCCGAAATGAGATGAATCAATATTGAAGCATTATTCACTGTCACGACTCCCAATTCCTCCGTATACCTACGAAATTGACTTTTTGCATGCGATCTAGAGACATAGGTACACTATATGTGTCCGTAAAGTATGGAACAAATTCATTTTTAGCTAAACAGGTCATTTTAATCAATAATCCTGAAACACGTCGATTTTTGATGTTAATTCACCGTATTTGAACATAATAATCTAATATACAGGGTGAATTACGTACGAGTAATGACGTCACCGTCATTTTTTTTAATGGAACACCCCCATTTTGTCTCAATTTTCGGATTACTCTAGCTGATCTCGTTTTTTCGTTTTTCATCGAAAACGAAGCGTCCTATCGGGTATCAACAAGAGCATCATTTCTGTACAAAATTGAAATACTTTTTATAGCCTTGTATTAAATTTGGCAATATATCTTCGTTGCTCAAGCATAGTATAATCAATCATATCCCCCTAACGGCGCCACTGGTAGAGGAAAGGAAAATTTGTATACATCAAAAAATGCACCTTGATGCATAGAAGATATGTACTACCAAATTTCATAAAGATGTCTACAATATTACCCCAGTTATTATAGAAAAAACTGATTTTTTTTCAAAACTTCATCACCCTGTATCTCAAAAGGTAAGACGTTCAGGACATACGTTAGTGGAAAGTTTTTTTTTTGAAATGAGTTAAAGAATCACCCCCTTGAATATTAGCATGTCATTAAGGAACGCCCTGTATATCCCACTAAGCAAATTTAGAAGCTATATATGTTGATGCAAGGTTGTAGCAATTACGGAAACGGATGTTCAGCAATATTGCAAATGTTAATTTCTAAATGTAAAGTTCCAGCAATGTCACAGCAACATGTAATATTGCTGCAACGCTACATTATCAAACTGATGTAAACCGCAAATTGATACCTCTTGAGGAACCGGTGAAATACTCGAAATAATATTACGAAAATATTCACCACAGGAATCTAACTTCAATAATCGCAATCAGAAATATCCTAAATCTATGAAATTATGATTTCAATAATTCATTTATTTTGGTTTCACAAACTGCTGTTATATCTCACAATAGTGAAGGAGACTCTTAGTAATGACATAGCTAATTAAAATGTAAGTATAGTGAGTATATATAGGTTCAGGAATAAAAGAAAACGTCAAAATATAATTGAAGTTCCAATCGAAGTTTTCACTGTGGATTGCTTATTTGTCAAAATGCCGATAACGAATGAGGAGGCATTTGACATGCTAACAGTTTAAATTTTAATATTATTACGGGTATTTCTCTGCTTCTTCAAGAGGTATCAAGTCGCGGTTTTTACCATTCTTCTTCTCGTTTACTTCACTTTCATATCATAGCAGGAAAAATATATGGTTCCATCAGTGGCGTAGCGAGAGGTGTCGGGGCCCCGGTGCAACGAGGGTTGATGGGGCCCTAATTCACTGAGAACATTTTCCAACCCTAGAGTTGAAGGTAGTTGAAGATCGAAAAAAAAAAAAGAACAGAATTGTTAAAAATGTATCTCTTGTAGTGGCGAGTCGTTATGAGTTTGATATTTGAGAAAGCTGATATGAGCAAAATTGCGCTTCAGGCAATTCTTTTCGAAATTTCAAGGTCAAGCTGCCTGGTTTAGAAGTTCAAAATGAGAATCGATTATATTTGTCTCTTGAGTATGAATCTAGTAGCCTCATCAGTTAATTTAATTTCCAATGTAAACAACTGAATGTACCTAAGTATTTTTCTGTTCTCTCGAATGAAGTCACGAAATGACAAAGTTTAAGAATTGTATTTGCAAATGTTGACGAGCCATGGCAGCCACCTGATACCTCCGCTTGTTTTCTGCAATCTGAGTGAAGCTATTTGTCCATCGCCTCACCTCCGTTTGTATCATACTAATTCATACAGTGACTTTTGCAGAAATTTCAATCTAACGCGGTATTTAGTTGAAACAACTAATGTATTTTGAATCTGACAGTTATTATCAATGAGTACCATTTTATAATTCAAGATTCTGGTGGCATGAAAATGACTTCAACAGGGCAACCAAATTAAAACAATCAAAAATTTAGGACGCGTGTATAAGGACGCAAATTTTCATAGGTAAGTATATTCAGCCTGTGACCGTTTTGATTAGCTTCCAACCGTGAAAGCTCGGTTGGACTGACGATTATGATATGGTCTCGCTGCTGGCAGCAATATTTCATATTGTAAAATCACAGTTGAGTTCAACATTCATAATATACACTCATCGGCAAAAAAAACCGGCCACCATAAAATTTCGCCCTGTAACTTTTTTAATTCTTGTCCGATTTTGGTGAAATTTCAACCAAACCGCATATTCATGTTTCGGAATATTTTCTTGTATATTAGGTCCCGAGGAAAGCTGATGGTTTGATCATTATACAGGGACGAACAAAAGTTACTATTTTACCCTTAACTTCCTATTGCCCTGTGGAAAAAGTGAGTAATTAAACTTGGCGTCATTATGTTTAGGATTGAAATTTGATCCTTTTTCGTCCTTTCTCAGCATATTGGTGCAAGATTCACGTCAATATCTCCTTTTAAAGAGAATATACAAGTGTTCGAAGAAAGTATGGAATTTTTTAATTTTTGTCAGCAATAATTCAAAACCTCTAGAGTATCTTAGGAATGAACTTCAGAGGCTCATTCGCATTCGTCCGGCATTGTCAGAGACTCCTCAAGAGCTACAATTGAAAAATTTCAGTTATTCTCCAAGTCCACTTGAGAAATTCGATCAACTCGATGACAGGACGGTTAAATGCTGTAATTCAAACTCGAGGTCCTCGAGGAGAGCATACTGGTTATTGACTACAGGTCTGCTTTTTGTTTGTTTTTTGTATTTGAGGTTTTTTTAGGTAAGTGCTATAAAAATGAGGTAGAAATTAGTAATATTGATTCCTCAAGTTGTTAATCAATAAGTTGATGTAGGATCTGATTATTGTTAGAAATAATTGAAAAATGCCATAATTTCTTAAAACACTCGTATATTCTCTTAAAAACGAGTTATTTACGTGAATCAGCAACCATTGTGTTAGGAAGGGATCAAACTTCAATCCAGAGCATAATGAAGCCAAGTTCAATAACTCAATTTTGCCACATGGCGTTAAGAAGTAAAAGGTGGAATAGTAACTTTGGTATTTTCCTATATAATGATCAAGTCATCAGTTTTTCTCAGAAACTAATATTTAGACTAACATTCAGGAACATGAATCTACGATTTGATCGAAATTTCACAAAAATCTGACAAGGATTAAAAAAGTTACAGGGTTCATGAATTAATTTGCACACCAATACTTTCTTGCATTATACCTGATAATGCAGATTGGGATATAGGGGCCCCTCCGGGGCCCCAATGCCCCGGGGCCCCGGTGCGCCGCACCGAACTGCCCGTCCATAGCTACGCCACTGGGTTCCATATGAAATTCTCGAAAAAAAATGGCAAATCGGCTGATTTTTCAAACGATGCCATCTATAGCGGCCACCACGTGATTTAAATCGACTTGATTCGTGATTTATCGAGAAGATCTAAGAAAACCCTTCATAATGAGACCAAGATCGCTTAATTCCGTTACACCAAACTGTAGTAATAAGAGTTTTTCCAGAGTACTATTCATCCTTCCCTCCCTCTTTTATTTAAAGAGCTAGCGCAAGTTTTTTTGATCGAAGTTATTGGAGACCAACTCGAGAACATGGAAACAATGTTTCTGATGTCTTGATTAATGAAATTTTCATAAAAACCCGTTTTTCAAGTTGGCCAATACAATTATGCCCTCTAGCGGCTGTCCTACAAACTTGAAAATAATTTCCAGATATGTTTCTTGGCCACTTTTATCATAAATATTTTTTTCCGAAACCTGTGCGGCAAATAGTTTCCGAGATACAGCCGGCGTTCTTTCTTAGAGTGGTACACCCGGTACAGACGTGTATACAGGGTGTCCTCTGAAATTACATAGAAAGATTTCAACAACAGATTCTAGGAACAAAAATAGTGAAAAAAGTTTATGTAAACATTGGTCTAGAAATGACCCCCTTATTTATATTTATATTTTCGATAACCCTCTGTGATAAAGTAATCGATTTGTATACGTGTACCTAACTTATTTTCATTCCCAATATGAAAATGAGAATTTTCCAAAATTTCGATCAGGGGCGTGATAATAAATGGGGAGGGGTTAGAGGGCACTTTTCCCCAACGTCTTTATTTATGCAATTTTCGGCAGTTTGACCTGGAAATACTTTTTTAATTTGTCAACGAAACGAATGTCTGTTTGAGGTGTTAAATCGCACACTATTAAAAATAGTGGGTTTCATGCATATTGGAAAATAAGATGGAAAAGCTTGGTAGTCGTTTATTTTTTCTATTGATCTAAGACTAACGCCGTCTCTGATTTCTCGAAACTGTAATCTTATTCGCTTATATCTCGTAATATTAAGACTATCAGTTTATTGTTATCACTTTCTTTTACATATTATCATGCTGATTTCAATGTTTATATGTATATAGTTTTATTTATAGAATAATTAGAATAATTTTGTAAGTACAACCATAAATTTATTGTTCATTGCGACAGTAAAGATCGTGCAGAGTGGAATTTTACAAGAATCATAGACAAATTCGATCGAAGAACACATATTAGGGTGAGCCAAATATTTATATATATTTAATAAAACACTGTTTATCATGTCTTTCATATGATCGATATACAATTTTTCATTATCAATAAGTATAGGTGACAAGCAGGTATATATTTCAACACCACTCTATTAATACAGGGTGTCTGTAAATTACATAGAAAGATTTCAACCACAGATTCTAATAAATAATGCAAAAATTTTACACTCTGAATCTTGAAAATTCTGCATTTCCGGAGCTATATAAACTTTTTGTCTCATCACAAAAAATCGACCCTAGAAGTTTGGTCACACTGTATACAGGGTGACATAGAAAAAAGTACATTGCATAGTGCCACACAATAGAGGATACTAAAATAAGGAAAAAAGTTCTTATGAACATGGGTCCGCAAGGCCTTCGGTTAAAAGATACGGGGTGTTGAATTTTAATGGAAAAATGTATTGAAGTACAAGGGCAACAATTTGAACATCTTCTAAAAACTTAATGTTTTGTACTAATTATTTATATTTTTCATCATACCATTAAAATGTAATTATTGAAGTATTTATCATTGTTTTTGCAAAAGTTACTTTGGCGCTTTTTGAATAATTTTTACGTGCATTGTCGGCTTTTAGATGCATTTGTACTGGAACCATTGCTTCTAGCGACTTGGACAAGGTATACCTTTCTTAAGTATAAAAGAAGGGATAACAATTTTTTCCGTCGAAAATGACATACAGTGTAAAGCAAAAAAGTTACGGCCGATTCAATAGGGATGCAACCCTGTATGTAGCGCCCTCTATCAGTCAACACAAAACTAAGATTATTTTTGAATTAAGCATCATAAAAAATCCCTGTATTCCACATTTTATCCATTTCTTGCGTCTCTGGCTAAAGATATTCAAAAAAAAAAACAAAAAAAAAATAAATTCAACACCCCGTATCTTTCAACCGAATGCCTTGCGGACCCACGTTCATAGGAACTTTTTCCTTATTTTAGTGTCCTCTATTGTGTGGCACTATGTAATGTACTTTTTTCTATGTCATCCTGTAGAATCTATTTTGAGATTGTAAAAGCTTCACAAAAGATAAGGGTGACATCACCTGACGAAGCTACTGTGTTAGCGAAACATGTGGTCTGTTTGAGAATTTCGTGGAAATCTTATCGTTCGTGAAGATTTTACATTTGTCATCGATTTCCGATTTCCTTCGAGTAACTGCCGAGTCAAGTAAAAAAAATTGAGATTCTCCGATTTCTTGACATTTGATTTATTGTTTGAAATTTACAGGCTGCAAAATGTTACCATCAACAAGATCCCGAAAACTGATCGTGTGCCTAAAAGAATGTGTGAAAAGTACCAAAAAAATTGCACCGTACAGCACTGCGGCAACAAGTAAAGCTATTATTGAACAAGAAAGCAAATATGCCGCACATAACTATCATCCATTACCAGTAGTGTTATCTAAAGGAGAAGGTAAGAAATTTAAATTAAATACTAGTACAAAAAAGTTGAAAGTTAGGTATTTCTATAGTGTGTCCAAGGAAATGATAATCGCTAGATACAGGGTGTTTCATTATTAATTGGAAATATTTCAACCATAGAATCCCGAACTCAAAATATGAAGATTTAACCCAAACCACCTAGATAAAATATGTCTCCTGTCCGAGTTACAGGGTGTTTTATCAAAAAATTTTGAAATGTTTCTTGCCCAGTTCTTCAAAACTATTTGACGTATCACTTTCATATTTGGAGGAAAGTGTAGGTATTATACACCCAACTGAATTATGTGAAATTAACTTTTCTAGCTATTACCAGAGGCGTACGATAGGGGTAATTGATTGGTTGATCCCTCCCAATTCTACGCCACTGGCGGAATTGCAATTCTATCACAAATTTTCGATTCTCCAACAATTTTGACGTAGATATTGTAGTCTTTCTCCATGGCGATAAAGTCAATATTTTTCGAGATATTTCAAGTTAAACATAAATCTGCACAATCATTTTGATTTCACTGTGCATTAATTTTGTCAATATTTTGTATTCATCAATAATATGAAACTTCAATCCACATTAACAATAAAAACATAATTACATAACAGACACGAGCTGTTACAGGGTGTTTAATTAGGTAATATATTAAAAAATTTAAAACGCCCTGTAACAGCTCCCGTCTGTTATGTTTTTATGTTAATATGGATTGAAGTTTCATTTGATTGATAAATGCAGTCCATTGATCCAAAATATCGACATTATTGATACACATTGAAATAAAAATAATTGTGCTGCTTTATGTTTAACTTGAAATAGGTATCTCGAAAAATAATGACTTTATCGCTATGAAGAAGGAGTACAATATTTATGAAGAAGGTATTGTAGAATCGAAAAATTCTGATTAAATTGCAATTCCGCCAGTGGCGTAGAATTTGGGAAGGATCAACAAGTCACTTGCCCCTGTTGTACGCCTCTGGTAATAGCTAGAAAAGTTCATTTCACATAATTCAGTTGGATGTATAATACCTACACTTCCCTCCAAATATGTAAGTGATACGTCAAATGGTTTTGAAGAACTGGGCAAAAAACATTTCAAAATTTTTGAATAAAACACCCTGTACATATTTTTGATTTGGGTTAAATCTTCATATTTTGAGTTCGGGATTCTATTGTTGAAATATTTCCAATTAGTTATGAAACACCCTATATATTTGATAATAACACCATGAAAAAAACTATTAGTCCAAGAGCTGGCTGCAAATTTCGTCATCTGATAACGAAATGATATACAGGGTATGTCACGACGAGCTTACACTATCTTCATATCGAGAATCAGTCGGGAGAAATTCATGAAAATGTGCATGCTTATATTTCAGAATACGCTCTCTTCATTTAAAATATTTTCGACAATGCAGTGTTGCCGCTTATACTAGAAAGTAGTAGCAACATTGATATTTCAAATAGACCCTGTATTTCACCGCATTTTCAGATTCTCCCTGAAGAGCTGATTCCATCGATGTATCACACTTGGGGTCTATTGAAAACGATTACAGAGATATAGGGTATTCAAAATCGAGATTTTTCAACTTTAGGATTTTTTTGTGTCGAAACTATTCATCATCAGTCAAAAACGGCTCACATGTCCCCATCTCAACTTTTGATTCACTATTTACTTATATTGAATCGGAACATATATACAGGGTGGTTCAAGATTGAGAATTCTGATCACCCTGTATCTGTTCCGATTAAATATCAGTAAACAAGTTGAGATAGGGACATGTGAGCCGTTTTGACCGATAATGAATAGTTTCGACAATAACAAATCCTAAAGTTGAAAAATCTTGATTTTTGAACACCCTATATCTCATTTCCGATAGACTCAGGTGTGATGAATCGATGAAATCAGCTCTTCAGGGAATCTAAAAATGCAATAAAATACATGGTATTCTATTTGAAATAACAAAGTTGTTGCTACTTTTTGATAGAGGCGGCAACACTGCATTGCTGAAAATATTTTAAATGAAAAGAGCGTATTCTAAAATACAAGCATGCATATTTTCATGGATTTCTCCCGACTGTTTCTCGAGATAGAGATAGTGTAAGCTCGTAGTGACTCTTACCCTGTATAGCTAACCCTGTATAGCTGTATAGTATAAGAGAAAGTGTAAGCTCGTCGTGACATACCCTGTATACAAAAACCAAAAACTTCAGTTATATCTTTCTTGGGATTTGAATAAAATGTGGGAGAAAGTACGGGATGTAATGTAGTTGCATTTTTTTAGGTGTTTTTGTGTGGGACGTAGAAGGAAAAAGATATTTCGACTATCTCAGTGGATATTCGGCGAACAATTTCGGTCACTGTCACCCGAAAATAGTGAAGACTCTACAAGATCAGGCAGGTGTTTTACACCACACATCTAGAGCATTTCATTCGAACGTTCTAGGTGAATTTTCAGAAATGATCACCAAACTATTCGGATATGACAAACTTCTACCTATGAACACCGGTAAGTATATTCAATTTTTACATGCACGATATTGTACTACAACTTGGTTTTCCACAACTAATCTAATAGGTACCTACTATTATTATGAATTGATGAATAACGCGAAATTTTTTGTTTCCAAGAGAGCCATAATATATATCTTAACTATAGCGCTATACTTCTGAAATTTGAAACATCGAACATGCTCACTAGAGGGTTCATTCTTATATTTTAGAAAATTTGTTTCATCTTCCGGTTTCCCTGGAAATTACATCAACTTTCCATTTTGAAATGGAAGTTTCCTTCAGATGAATTTTCATAAAATTAGTTCGGAACTCTCCAGTTTTATGTCCACGCTGTACAGAATGGCGACCGATAAAGTCCAAGTCGTTTTTATTTTCAAATGAAGCAATTTCAGGGACAGGTGCTTCAATCATTTAGATTTCTGTGATCGCAAAAATTCCTGAAAATTGCAAAAATCCCAAAAATGACTGAAAATTGCAAAAATCGCAAAAATGACTGAAAATTGCAAAAATCGCAAAAATGACTGAAAATTGCAAAAATCGCAAAAATTCCTGAAAATAGCAAAAATTCCTGAAAATTGCAAAAATCGCAAAAATTCCTGAAAATTGCAAAAATCGCAAAAATGACTGAAAATTGCAAAAATCGCAAAAATTCCTGAAAATTGCAAAAATCGCAAAAATTCCTGAAAATTGCAAAAATCGCAAAAATGACTGAAAATTGCAAAAATAGCAAAAATTCCTGAAAATTGCAAAAATCGCAAAAATGACTGAAAATTGCAAAAATCGCAAAAATGACTGAAAATTGCAAAAATCGCAAAAATGACTGAAAATTGCAAAAATCGCAAAAATTCCTGAAAATAGCAAAAATTCCTGAAAATTACAAAAATCGCAAAAATTCCTGAAAATTGCAAAAATCGCAAAAATAACTGAAAATTGCAAAAATCGCAAAAATTCCTGAAAATTGCAAAAATCGCAAAAATTCCTGAAAATTGCAAAAATCGCAAAAATGACTGAAAATTGCAAAAATAGCAAAAATTCCTGAAAATTGCAAAAATCGCAAAAATGACTGAAAATTGCAAAAATCGCAAAAATGACTGAAAATGGCAAAAATCGCAAAAATTCCTGAAAATTGCAAAAATCGCAAAAATGACTGAACATTGCAAAAATTGCAAAAATTCCTGAAAATTGCAAAAATCGCAAAAATTCCTGAAAATTGCAAAAATCCCAAAAATTCCTCAAAATTGCAAAAATCGCAAAAATGACTGAAAATTGCAAGAATAGCAAAAATTCCTGAAAATTGCAAAAATCGCAAAAATGACTGAAAATTGCAAAAATCGCAAAAATGACTGAAAATTGCAAAAATCGCAAAAATGACTGAAAATTGCAAAAATCGCAAAAATTGCAAAAATCGCAAAAATTCCTGAAAATTGCAAAAATCGCAAAAATGACTGAAAATTGCAAAAATCGCAAAAATTCCTGAAAATTGCAAAAATCGCAAAAATGACTGAAAATTGCAAAAATCGCAAAAATGACTGAAAATTGCAAAAATAGCAAAAATTCCTGAAAATTGCAAAAATCGCAAAAATGACTGAAAATTGCAAAAATCGCAAAAATGACTGAAAATTGCAAAAATCGCAAAAATGACTGAAAATTGCAAAAATCGCAAAAATTCCTGAAAATAGCAAAAATTCCTGAAAATTACAAAAATCGCAAAAATTCCTGAAAATTGCAAAAATCGCAAAAATAACTGAAAATTGCAAAAATCGCAAAAATTCCTGAAAATTGCAAAAATCGCAAAAATTCCTGAAAATTGCAAAAATCGCAAAAATGACTGAAAATTGCAAAAATAGCAAAAATTCCTGAATATTGCAAAAATCGCAAAAATGACTGAAAATTGCAAAAATCGCAAAAATGACTGAAAATTGCAAAAATCGCAAAAATGACTGAAAATTGCAAAAATCGCAAAAATTCCTGAAAATTGCAAAAATCGCAAAAATGACTGAAAATTGCAAAAATCGCAAAAATTCCTGAAAATTGCAAAAATGGCAAAAATGACTGAAAATTGCAAAAATCGCAAAAATGACTGAAAATTGCAAAAATCACAAAAATTCCTGAAACTAGCAAAAATTCCTGAAAATTGCAAAAATGACTGAAAATTGCAAAAATCGCAAAAATTCCTGAAAATTTCAAAAATCGCAAAAATGACTGAAAATTGCAAAAATTGCAAAAATTCCTGACAATTGCAAAAATCGCAAAAATGCCTGAAAATTGCAAAAATCGCAAAAATGACTGAAAATTGCAAAAATTGCAAAAAAATTCTGAAAATTGCAGAAATTGCAGAAATTGCAGAAATTGCAAAAATTGCAAAAATTCCTGAAAATTGCAGATTACAAAAATTCCTGAAAATTGCAGAAATTGTAAAAATTCCTGAAAATGGCGAGAATTGCAAAAATTCCTGAAAATTGCCAAAATTGCAAAAATTGCAAAAATTTCTGAAAATTGCAGAAATTGCAAAAATCGCAAAAATTCCTGAAAATTGCAAAAATTGCAAAAAATTCTGAAAATTGCAGAAACTGCAAAAATTGCTAAAATTCCTGGAATTTGCAAAAATTGCAAAAATTTCTGAAAATTGCAGAAATTGCAAAAATTGCATAAATTCCTAAAAATTGCAGAAATTGCAAAAATCGCAAAAATTCCTGAAAATTGCAAAAATCGCAAAAATGACTGAAAATTGCAAAAATAGCAAAAATTCCTGAATATTGCAAAAATCGCAAAAATGACTGAAAATTGCAAAAATCGCAAAAATGACTGAAAATTGCAAAAATCGCAAAAATGACTGAAAATTGCAAAAATCGCAAAAATTCCTGAAAATTGCAAAAATCGCAAAAATGACTGAAAATTGCAAAAATCGCAAAAATTCCTGAAAATTGCAAAAATGGCAAAAATGACTGAAAATTGCAAAAATCGCAAAAATGACTGAAAATTGCAAAAATCACAAAAATTCCTGAAACTAGCAAAAATTCCTGAAAATTGCAAAAATGACTGAAAATTGCAAAAATCGCAAAAATTCCTGAAAATTTCAAATATCGCAAAAATGACTGAAAATTGCAAAAATTGCAAAAATTCCTGACAATAATTGCAAAAATCGCAAAAATGCCTGAAAATTGCAAAAAATCGCAAAAATGACTGAAAATTGCAAAAATTGCAAAAAAATTCTGAAAATTGCAGAAATTGCAGAAATTGCAGAAATTGCAGAAATTGCAAAAATTGCAAAAATTCCTGAAAATTGCAGATTACAAAAATTCCTGAAAATTGCAGAAATTGTAAAAATTCCTGAAAATCGCAAAAATTGCAAAAATTCCTGAAAATTGCCAAAATTGCAAAAATTGCAAAAATTCCTGAAATTTGCAAAAATTGCAAAAATCGCAAAAATTCCTGAAAATTGCAAAAATTGCAAAAAATTCTGAAAATTGCAGAAACTGCAAAAATTGCTAAAATTCCTGGAATTTGCAAAAATTGCAAAAATTTCTGAAAATTGCAGAAATTGCAAAAATTGCATAAATTCCTAAAAATTGCAGAAATTGCAAAAATCGCAAAAATTCCTAAAAATTGCAAAAATTGCAAAAATTCCTGAAAATTGCAAAATTTGCAAAAATGCCTGAAAATTGCAAAAAATCGCAAAAATGCCTGAAAATTGCAAAAAATCCTGAATATTGCAATATTTTAATAATTGCAAAAATTCCGGAAGATTGTTAAAATTCCTGAAAATTGCAATATTTTAATAATTGCAAAAAATCCGGGAAATTGTGAAAATTCCTGAAAATTGCAATTTCAGGAATTTTTGCAATTCTTGCAATTTTCGAGAATTTTTGCAATTTTTGCAACTTTTGCAATTTTTGCAATTTTTGCAATTTTCAGGAATTTTTGCAGTTTTTGCAATTTTCAAGAATTTTTGCAAGTTTTGGAATTTTCAGGAATTTTTGCAATTTTTCCAATTTTCAGGAATTTTCGTAATTTTTACAATCTTCAGGAACTTTTCCAATTTTCAGAAATTTTTGCAATTTCTGCAATTTTTGCAATTTTCAGGAATTTTTGCAAATTTTGCAATTTTCAGGAGTTTTTGCAATTTTTGCAATTTTCAGGCATTTTTGCGATTTTTGCAATTTTCAGGAATTTTTGCAATTTTCAGAAATTTTTCTAATTTTCAGGAATTTTTGCAATTTTTGCTATTTCTGCAATTCCTGCAATTTTCAGGAGTTTTTGCAATTATTGCAAATTTCAGGAATTTTTGCAATTTTCAGTCATTTTTGCGATTTTGCAATTTTCAGGAATTTTTGCAATTTTTAGGAATTTTTGCAATTAAAATTTTCAGGAATTTTTGCGATTTTTGCAATTTACAGAAATTTTTCTTATTTTCATGAATCTGCAATTTCTGCAATTTTCAGGAATTTTTGCGATTATTGCAATTTTCAGGGATTTTTGCAATTTCTGCAATTTTTAGGAAGTTTTGCAATTTTCAAGAATTTTTGCAATTTTTGCAATTTTTGCAATTTTCAGGATTTTTTGCGATTTTTGCAATTTTCAGGAAGTCGAATTTGATCTTACGAAAAAAAGAAAAATTACATATATATTAATTTTTTACAAACTTCACAGTGAGATAAAAGCCTCAATATAGGAAACTTCCCCATTTTTTTAACTTTGAAAAAAATCTATTTCACCCAATCCATTGACAACTTTTTACAGAAACTTAATATTTCTATTCGATGTCAAGATATTATTGGCGTGCGGAGTTTCAAGTGAAAACCCTGTATAGTTAATTTATGTCGGTGATGACTAACAAAAAAAAACTAATTGGCAACTGAAACTTAGGTTAAATAACATTATACAAGAGGTCAGAGGTCTCCGTTGAGCCGTTAGAGGGCGATGAAGAACAATTTTATTTACAGATTTCTTCAATATTTCAAAATCCTTGCAAGGTACTGCTCTGAAATTCGTAGGGCAATTCACTATAGTGAATGTGCATGGAAAACATGTCGTGCCATTTCAATCAATATACAGGGAGTTAGATATCTCGCATTCTCTTTGATAAAAATCAATTTAACTTCTTTTGGGGTACGGCCATGAACACAATTCGATATTTCAAAGAATGACATAGGTAATCAATTATCTCACTTTATTCTAACTGCAGTTTTTTAAATAATTTTCCTCGGTTTTCGAAATAAATAACGAAATTCATTTTGGTGCTTCTCCATACTTTTCGTTTATCATGTTTTTTTCTGTGACGGAAAAAAAGTTTGGCATTTCATCTCTGTTGGCAGGTTATAAAATATCACTTTCCATAAATTGCTTTTCCCACGGGAAAAAAGTGAGTACTTTTTCCCCGGATATATATAACATATATCATATATATACACTGTTGATGGCTTTTGTTGTGCTATAGTTCCGAAAAATAAGTCAATAATACCGTTTCCGAGAAAGAATTGCAAGTCCTTTTATCTTCCATTCGACTTCACGGTTACGTATATTACTTAACAACCACAATCGCAATTGTTTGAAATCAAATCACAGAATTAGACTGACAGAAGTGACATCAGATATTTGATTACTTCAGAAGAATGTTAAAGATGCATACAACGCAGGTGTCCTTACTGTTAAAAACTTAAAATTTCACGTCGATAATTTTCAGATTTCGAACACAACCTGGAGCTAAAATCTACTACTTTTTTCCCTTGTATAATAAATAACTATTGTTCCTTTCTACCTAATTTGTGTTGAGTTATTGATCACTAATAATCATGTTCACAAATTCGCAAGCTCTTCATCATATGATTTGGAAGCTGGTCATTTCCAAATTTCAGTTCAGGATTTCGGGTGAAAAAACTTTATTCGAGAAAAATTAAATAAATTCGAAGATGACCAACAACATTATCATATGCTGAAGTAGTTCATAAACATGATTATTTTGGTAAATAACTCAAAACAAATGAGGTTAAAACTTTCAAAACATGATAATCGTCAAAATCATAAACAAGTAGTATGGAGGAGCACCAAAATGAATTTTGTTAGATATCACGAAAGCTGAGGAAAAATATAGGAACACGGCAGTTAGGAAAAAGTGAGAGAATTAATTTTGTCATTCATCGAAAAATCAAATTGTGGTCAGTGCCGTACTAAAATTAATTTTTATCAAAAAGAATGCGAAATACCTAACTCCCTGTGTATTGATCGAATTGGTGCAACATGTTTTCCATGGACATTCACTATTGTTGAATTGCCCTAGGAATTACAGAGCAGTACCTTTCAAAGATTTCGAAATATTGAAGAAAATCTGGAAATAAAATTATTCTTGTGATGATCTAGGCTCATGAGCAGCACATTTCCAAAATATTTCGCGTTATACAGGTTGACTCAAAAATGCGTGACGTATCAAAGGTATAATTTTTCTTACGGGACACCCTGTATTTAATTGCATTCTCGGATTCTCCTTTGTGAGCTGATTTCATCAATGCATCACACTTGGAGTCTAGCGAGAATGATTACAGAGATATAGGGTGTTCAAAATCGAGATTTTTCAACTTTAGGATTTTTTTATGTCGAAATTATTCATTATTGGTCAAAACGGCTTACATGTCCCTATCTCAACTTATGATTTACCATCGACTGACATTTAATTTGAACGAATACGGGTGGTTCATAATTCTGAATTTTGTTTGCAGGAGTTGAGGCAGATGACAGCGCATGCAAGCTGGCAAGAAAATGGGGATACAGAAAGAAAAACATCCCCAAGGACGAGGCAAAGACCATCTTTGCTATCGACAATTTTTGGGGTCGTTCGTTGGCCGCCATTTCAGCTTCAACTGACCCTTCAAGCTACGAAGGATACGGCCCTTACATGCCAGGTTTCATCTGCATTCCTTACGATGATTTAGTAGCTCTAGAAGTAAGTGCTCATCTAGAAAAGATTTTTTTCCATTCCATTTTTTCCACTTTTCAGTATTTGGCCTTCTCCTAGTTGGAAACAAGGTTTTTTTCATCGACAGGAAGCAAACGCTAAGGCTTTATGTATTTGTTTTCTTAGGAAGCTCTCAAAGACCCGACAGTGTGCGCTTTCATGGTGGAACCGATCCAAGGCGAGGCGGGCATCAGAGTGCCTTCCGAAGGCTACTTGACAGGCGTCAGAAAACTCTGCACCAAGTACAACGTGCTGTGGATAGCCGACGAGATCCAGACGGGCCTCGGGCGGACCGGCAAACGGCTAGCCGTCGACTACGAGAACGTCCGACCGGACATCCTGGTGCTGGGGAAAGCGCTGGGCGGAGGGGTTTATCCGGTGTCGGCGTGTCTGGCCGATGACAGGGTCATGTTGGTGATGGAACCGGGTAAGGAGATTGAACATCATTTATTCGTCGATGGGTTATGCAAAACTGCAGGGGGATTCTGTTTCACGATCGTCGATTGTCGTACGATACGATGATAAACTCGAAATCGAATTCATTTTCTATTCTATTTCTCGATCAAGTCGCGATCGAATTCGACTTCGGAAAACGTCGGTTTTTTTGGCGAAATGGGATGAGATTTTGATCCAATGAAACGAGCACCGAGGCCATAGCCCCAAAGCCATCACAAATTTGAGGTTATGGTGGTTATATTGTTTTTATAAATTCCACTTTTTTGAATTCTATAAGACAAAAATAAGAATAATTCTAATTGTTCGAGTCGACATGGTATTTCAGCAGCTAAAGATAGGCAAAGAAATTTAGATCAAATTCGTCGGACGACAAGGACTATATGAAACAGAAGTAGGTACCCACCTAATCCTTTTTCATTACCTGAAAAATGATTTATTGAGCTATTTAGATTGAACGAAAGGTTGATTCATCTTCTGATACAATCATTGAGACACCACTTATTAGTGGATAGGCAAAGTATGAAGGGAATATAGGAATAGGTATACAGAATCTCAAATATTCTGTGCATTGAGGTTTTATGCAACTATATCATAGCAAAGATGCTACCTTACGCCATTTCTCAGGAGTTCACTCGTCAAACCACAATGATTTCACGACCAATTGACTCTGAAAATCATCCTGTGGCCGTGGCCATGTTCTGTGCTGTTCTAAAAATGTTATTAATATTTCCCAGTGGGCATCTCTGAGTTTGCACGACATAGAAAATTAATTATATATTATATTCATGAAGTAATAAGTTGATTATACACTTCCAAAGCTGTATTTTCACATAAACAAGATGATCTAACCTCAAATTCAGATGAAAATGAAAAGAAACATTCGATGATAGGTAAAAATAGATTGACAAAACGCATCGACTCGACTCCTTTGAGCTATCGAGGAATCGAGTCGAGTTTACACGATTCATTCGAGAAACAGAATACCAAATATCGAATAAAGATGGCCGATTCGACTCGATTCGTGAAATAGAATCTCCCTGCCGACGTCACACGAAACAAGAGCAAAATCTGATGAAATTCACCTACACTCATCATTATCCTAACCTAAAAACGCTTTCAGCGGATATTTCCTTGTCTAGAAGTGCAATCGTTACATGAATAGTGAGTAGAGAGGGGATAAACATAACAAGGTAGACCACCGATACTTCTCAAATAACTGCTGCACTTATAATAACCGTTTTTTTCCTCTCTTCTTACATTGAACAAAGAAGCGGTTGAACTCTTGTAGTGACTAGAACTGAAAATAGGGTACTTTGGGGGATTATAAGATCTTGGAAATAGTGTTATCTCCAATAATTTCCCTTTGAAATTGAATGTATATGAATTAAAAAGGATATAGGGTCCAACACTGAACCTTGTGGAATACCACATTCAATAGCCATATCATAGAACCTCGAATATTGTAATCAACCAATTCTGTATTTCTAATTCTTGAACCATTGGTGTTTGTCTTTTGAAACATAAGGGTCGATTATTTTGAGGAGTTAAAGTTATGATGATCTGTACACTAAGGTAGCCACCGTATAAGCATTTGACAGTGTGGTTTTACTGATTTTAGGTACCCATGGTTCGACTTTCGGGGGCAACCCTTTGGGTTCGAAGGTGGCTATGGCAGCACTGGAGGTTCTTGAGGAAGAAAAACTAGCAGAAAATGCTTTCCAAATGGGTGAAATATTCAGGAATACTTTGAGGGAACGACTGAATAAAGAAGTTGTGCGAGAAGTAAGAGGAAAAGGACTGTTAAACGCCATAGTTATCGACGGAAGTAAGTCATCCAGATTATTTTCTTCACAAACCATAAAATTTCAACAAAATTCTCAAAGACACGACATATTTCGCTAACACAGTAGCTTCGTCAGGTGATATACTGGAACGATCGTTCTTGGAGGATGACCTCATTGAGCTAACTATGAATTTTCATTGCAGAAATGGCTGACGCTTGGAACTTATGCTTACAAATGAAGGAAAATGGTCTAATAGCAAAACATACCCATGACGACATTATCAGACTAGCACCACCACTCGTTATCAACAGCGAACAGCTAGAAGAATCAATGGATATAATTGTAAAAACGTTCAATAATGCAGCTAAGTGAACATTTCCTGACTGCTACGAATTGTATGACTTATGAGAAGGTCAAAACATGTCGAAAGAACAGCTCTACACCACTGACATATATTACTAACTAGACCACTAATGCCATAAGATCAAATTTCATTCATTTACGAGATCGAACTTAGTTCTATGTAGCGTACGCATTCGGGACCTGTCATATATCTTACATGACCCGATGTCCTCAACGACAGTATGGGAGTTCCTACGCATTGAGCAGAAGCGTTTTCAGGCGAGCAATTTCCATGAAATTTTCGGGTTACTGGGATATAACATATAGCGGTCTAGACAGTAGTTCAGTAGTCAGTGCTCTACACTAAAGTTCTATCAGCATTCTCTTTCTGGAGAAACTTGTTTGTACTTTTATATGCTTGAACAAATAAAGGTAACCAAAAACACTATCTTTAGTCATTATTTTATTGTTATAATGGACACGATTCATTAAATACATCACTGTCATGTGTCATAAATCAATACTATTTGTCAACAGTCTTCATAATTGTAAAATATGCTTTTATATAGCTACACATTCATTTCCGAAATTTACACTTATATACATATAACATTAAGGCAGCAGGTAAGCACATCATTTCTTAATAATAGATGACATTTTTTTTTCGAGTACACATAATATAATATTGCGGCAGTGCAATACCACTCATTTTGAGTCATTAATTGAAGACACCAAAATGAAAATGCGCTATCAAATGTGTTCATTCCATAAATAATGAATTCAATATACTGGGTGGGTCACTCAGGACTTTTTTGTACCCTCAATAACCTTCAGCATAATCATGATTCTATGAAATAATTCATATAAAAAATCTTCAGGCAATTAAGTAGGTATTTATTCACAATTATTACAATATTTTTCTGTCCAATTTTGACAAGACAAGTGACATTTTTATTTCATATGTAATTTTTCATCCGAATTGAATTCTTGAGTTGACCACACCCAGTAAATAAGAATTTCATAAACAAATAAATACTGAATATCATAAAAAATTGCAAAATCTTAATCTATTACACTTTTTAATTTCAAAAAATACTGCACATATTCCTTACCAAAAATATATTTTTCTTCTGCTACTTTTATTCCAATTTGTAAAAGTATATATAAAAGTAGTGAACTATGGATAAATAAAGTGGAAAAAGGCTCAGTTTGCATATGGTTTCAATATAATATCTAGATTTGTATACACAATGGTCCGAAATAATTGTCCTCCGATATTTCGAAAATGGATAATAGATTTGAGATGATTTCAACTGATTTACAATAGAGAAAACATTTAGAAAACTAATTAGTTCATCGAAATGTAACTACAGTACATTTTTCATTTCCAAATAAGTTGGTCAAAGAGATAATCTCATGAGAATTTTCAAGAATCAAGCGTAAAACCATCAATTGTCTCGAAAAAATAGCCTGAGATGAGCTTCGAGGAAAAATCTCTTCTTATTTTTTAATAAACCATGAAAATATCGGGAGACAATGGGCTAGTTGACTGTTTTTTATTTTCAATTTCTTATTCTTGATATCAACCCTCACGCTCTCAATTCAATCATTTTTAAATATAATACCAGTCAAACAGTCTGAATCTGCCACTCATAGGCACCTAACCTCACATATCAGTGAGTGAAACACATCATAGTTGCTAGATATCATACAACTGGAAATAACAGAAATTGTCTGGCTATGAACATTCATTAATCATGATTTATTGCTTTCCTAATATGTGGAAAGACTCTTCTTAACAGTGTAATTTCTGAATGTGAAGAATTCAATTCAGTAGCATATTCTGGACCACAGTGAATAGGAAGATATTCGTCCTCTCTACAAAATGTAATGTGTTGAAATCTACCAGAAAGGTTAGAGATTTTTTCCACTGAATTTACAAACCACTATACTTTGAGCACGATACGTTTATAAACGAATCTTCAAACCGATCAGTATAAAAAAATAAAATATCACAATGCAAAAATGAGTAAAATGATGTCACAACTATCAGAGCATCGACATTATTTTGTTAATCTACCTACTTATGCACACATTATTTCATAATAGCAGATTTTTGTACCATACTCAGAGCTGGATCTAAGTATCTAGCGCAAGTGGGGAAATTTGAAATGGCGCCCGAGAATATATCTCCTCAATGAATACATGTTTGAAGAACTATTTCCCAAGAGATGATGATGAATAGATTTGCCCCACTTGTTAACAAAAGTTACCTTACTGATTTAGTTCACCAGGTCTCATCAGCCGCTATCAGTCTGCTGACAATTGGGACAACTTGTGCCAAGATGTAGAAAGAGTATATTGTTTTATGTAGAGGTGAAGTGACAATAATATCTGCGGCATATTCGTATTTGAGGGGCAAGCAGAGTGACAAGTTTCCTAACATCGATATAAATTTCTATCCACTGGACATTTTGAATTTGTTGAATGAAATCTTGAAATAAACACAAAAAAGACGACACGCGGTGTTCCCAAGTGGTGTCACCCCAAGTACTGACCGCGCCCGACATTTTTGACTTCCGTGATCAGACGAGGCTGGGTATTTACTCAATGTGATATGGTCGTTGCCTAAAAATTTGGTTTAATGAAAAATACTCATACGACCGTGTGGCGTTGTCAAATGTATTCAAAATCAGATTTTCCTTCAAATTTATTCGAATTAATGTCATAGCTACTAATTGTCATCTTCACTACTTAGTAGAAGGGAGTTTTCTTGAATCTCATGTCTTATTTATTGGGTCTCTTCTTGGGATTTAGTGAAATAGTATGAGAATCCTATTTTATCATTGAAACGTTTGGCTCACAACCATACAAGGACTTTATGAATTTTATGGCATAACATTCTTAGAAGTTTGTATTTTACATGTTCAGCTCTTCAACATGAAAATAGCTGATTTTTTATTTAGAATAGAAGTAGTGGTGAGGTTTCAACTACCAATAGGCAAAATAAAATCTGCCGCCGCCATAAGGTATTCATTCTGAGCTATGACCTATCACTCGTAGACCCCTCCGAATTTCAAAGCTTGGAAAATAGAAAAGTAGGTAATTCTCAAAATGAAAAATCAATAATTTTACGCCGCCATGCTTAGCCCAGCTCTGACCATACTTAAGCAAAAAGGACCCCATACTCTATATGATACTAAAACACAAGTTATCCATCAAAATTCATGCTATGAAAAGAAATAGTTTTTGTACTAGTAAAATACCCAATGAGTAACAATAAATAAATAAATAAATAAATATTTCAATAGTGCTGCTGGTGGCGTATGAAGTCCGTATCAAAGCATTCACAGAAGACTAAAGGACCTCTTGCAAGGTAGATTGGCCAGTTACAAACACAGCAGCAACAAAGTACATTCAACTATATCTTAGTGATGCTTTCATTTTGAATTTGATTATAAAAGAGCTAGAATTGAAATTTGCCTAATTTCTCACATGATGAAATACTTAATCATCCAACCAAACCAGCACTTTTGCATCAGTGGTATCAAAACCTAGTTAACAAACCAGGCTGATCAGAATATTCGGCAGGATATTTTGTTTGAAGGTTATGGAGTCCTTCAGAAGCTACGTATACTTCCAGTTCATTTTATATTCATAATCAAATAAATATCATTACACTGATTTATATTGGGTTCCAAATGTTTTTAGATAATGATAGGTTATGAAAAAACTAATTAATGTATTCCAACAGAATACAACAGTTTCCTGACTAAACTAAACAGACTAATGTTTAGTATCTTTTGACTTACTATAAGAAAAAATCTAAAATCTAAATATTCCATTTTTGCATTTCCTTCCATACCTGAATCAACATAAAATATTCTAGATTTTATTAAAAATGAGAATTGTAGTAGATTGAGAGATATAATCAGATCTCCTGCAAACAGTCATTATGATTTTTGATCGATCAAAACTCATTTCAGATCGCAGGTTATCTCTGAACTTTGATTGAATTGTTGAAAGAAAACCGTTATTATTCAAATTGCTAATTGATAGCTGCTGATAGACTTGTCTAAATCTGAAATGTCCCTGAACTATTTATAATCATTCTGAACTATAGGGATGACTGAGATTTCCGAACATCCTTTTTCATTCCACTCAAATCTGATATTATAACTTTTCCATAATATCCTCTATAATCTATAAACATTTGGAAAAAACAAAAGAATATATTCGAATGTTCAAAAACTGTCAAAATCTCAGAAGTCTTTTGTTTTTGGGTTTATTAGATTTCTGAACTACCAGTTTCGAGCCTTGTCAATTTATCCAGATAAGGTAATATTTGTATTAATTTGTACATATACTGTATATACTATTATACGAGTGTATATAGGACAGCACTGCCACTCACACTACACCCACCTTTTTTTTCATTTCAGAATTCTTTCATTGACCTAATATTCCAAACGCCAAACATATGTCACGTGTTACTTCACTACATTTCAAATAAGAAGATAGTAGGTGACGCTGCCTCTGATGTTTACACGAACACTAATTAATGAAATGTGATAATGTGATCATCTTTCCATAAAGAAAATTTCAATCTGCAAATCATAATAATCGGCATATGTCATATTGCATCCAATATTAACCTATCAAAGCGAAGGTCAACGCTTCCCTATGGTTTTCAATGCTGTTGTCTTAGTTGGAATAGACTATAGTGAAGAATTATTCTTCTGAGGTAATGACCCAACGAGATGTTCACAGTTTATAAACAAAAATATAATTTTCATTATAAATAAATAAAATTCAATATGAATCAAATAATTTTTCAATTTGCAAGTCCCCTTCAACTGTCATTACTCAAACTCTACACAGTCGTTTCGACATCATCACTCAACCGATCGAAATCCTCATGACTATGCGAAATTTTGCGTCGCTGTCGATTATCACTAACGAACGAATTAATCTCCGAGTCAGACAGACAAGGACTGGCATTGTACATGCTATAAAAGTTACGAGACCTCTTGGCCTGCGGCCCCCGTCTGATCTGCTGATACAACTCATCCAGATCGCTCACCGACACACTACTAGCCCTGCTCTGTCCATCACCTTTGCCCAACCTCGAATCCAAGGAAGGGTTTACGAACAAGCGAGAGCTGGACCCTTCTACGTCGCTCGAAAAGGGCTCTGGCTTCTTGGAACTGTATCCGTTTCCCCGTGAGCTGTCTCCCTTCAATTCGGCTATCTGGCAGTAGTTGGGATCGTTATCCGTCAAAGTACTGAACGAACTGATCTGTTGGCGCTGCAAGGCTGCCCCACCGTTAGCTTCCGTTAGAAAGCTCTCTTGATCGGGCAACAAACTTTTTTCGGGGCTGTTCTTGTCCAATATCGAATCTGATATCGTTTCGGAACTGTATTCGAGCGTACACTGCTGAGATATCGACCTCATGTGCTTCTCCGATAGCTCAGAGGTTTGAGCGTTCGGCACGTTGTATTTCTTTTTCTTGCCCAGTTCCTTCTTTCTCAACCGCTCAGCGTTGTACACTAGATGTGCTACCGGTACATTACTAACAGAATCGAATTCTTCAGTACTGTCTGAAAATATATTCGGGTTCTTCTGTTGAATATTCCGCTTGAATTCTACGTGGATGTTGGTATTGTTGACTTTGCTGTTGGTACCGAAGATGTTATTCTCAGACATGTTCTTGATCTTCAAATTCGGTTCGGAAAACACCGAGGCCGTGTCGCTGTTGACATCTCTCGGCGGCTTCAGCAAGTTCGTCTTCTTCAACATGTTCCTCTTCTGGCGTTTGAAGAACTTCCTCGCCACCGTACTCTGGTGGGGATTATAAAACACCTCGGCAGCGTTCGTCGGATTTTCTATGATATTCGGTATGACGTTAGACCTGTACTGCGCCCTATGCAGTACGACGAGATTCACATTGTTGATCTTCGCCCCCTGGTGGTCGCTGAAGCTCCCGTTCAGATCCACTGCGTCCTTGTAAACATTGCTGGCGTGAGAATTGGTTTTGGTGTGGGCGGAGCTCCTACTCGTCGATCTCGATATCTGGTTATCGATATTACAAACAGGAGGTAGAGGTAACGGCTGTATTTGAATTTGCGGCACGGAAATGAACGCGTCAGACACATTCCTCGACCGGAACCGGATACAGAGGCGCTTCCGCCTCAACGACCTCAACACGATGGCCCATTGGGTGCGCACATCGTTACGCGCAACACAGTAAAAAAATACAGTGAAAGTGCCCAGAGTCGAAGCCAAGAGCGCGTAGGCTATGCTGAAGAGATCCTCCTCGAAGGAAACGATGCGGAAAGGCGGTACGGTGGCGAAAGCGCAACTCAACCAAGTCATCAAGTAGATGAGGAGGAAGATCACATGGGCTTTGAGTTGGGCCGAAGGAGCGTGCTCTGGGTCCTCCACTTCGCTCGACGCCGTCTTCAAGGACACGCTCCTCACGCTCCTGGTGTCAACATTCGGAAAGTTCGGCTCCAGCAGATCCAGGTCCACGTGCTCGGTCGCTTGAGTGCCTTCGCTCAAATGTCCGTTAGCGTCCAGGTTATAAATGGCGCATCTGATCAACAGGAAGAACACCAGGAGGAAGACGAACAGAATGACGAAGGGTATGTAGAGGGCGCTCAACGCCGGGCCGGACCTCAGGAAACAATACCCCGGCGAAGCGTACTCGTTCATGTTGATGGCGGCCGACAGACCGCAAATGATCAAGCCTATGCCCCAACCTACGAGGTACAAACCGAGGATGGGCTTCTTGATGGGTTGATCCAGAGGTAAATCGTCGTCTTGGATGTTTATAATGTCGTTTTTGCTCAGGCGCTTGTACATGCAGTTCACCGCTACGCACATCCAGAGCAGCGAGCTGAGGGTGAAATAGTGCAGCAGCATCCCAACGATCTGACACACCCTGACGTCTTCGGTTTGGTAGATGCCGAACACATACATGAAGCACAACAAGGCTATGGCGATGAGCATATTGATGAGCGAGTGTTTCGCCTTTTTCGGTATCTGTATGCTGACGTAGCACAACAGATATGTGAGGATGACGACGAGGAACGAAGCGAACAAAATGAAAGTGCCGATGTAGATGGCGGGGTGGGAGAGTTTGAACTTGGCGAGGATCAGCTCGCTCTCCAGACTGCTGACGTCTTGCAGCAGACCGTAATAGCCGAAATTTTCGCAGGAGAAGACCAGATGGTCTTGGAGCTCGTGCGTGAAGTGGCAGCCGGCGGAGGACCACTTACCTGTGCCGTTGTTCAGCGAGGGGTCCCACCACACGGGGGTGAAGGGGGTGACTTCGTAGATGGTGGTCGACGGCATTCGGAGCATGATGAAGACCGGTTCGGTGAGGTTCCTCACCGTGTGGCCCACTGCAAACGAGGAATCTAAACTACTCAACACTAATTTCGTCGCACACCAAAATGTCGCCCCTGTTATAATGAGAATAACTTTTTTCAGTTTAGAACAATTTGAATTTGGTTCACACTGTTCGATAGCTCAGTCCTTCAGCTATAATCTCGTACTTCATTGAAACATAAGGGTATTCACATAACATCTCTACATGGTGTTTTCCGACACTGTGCGAAATTTCGGAATATTCAAAATGCTCCCAAATGGTGAAAACATTTTTTTCTCAACTTCGACAACAGTGGCATGAAGATGATCTCATTACCTCGAGATATTTCGCGAATCAACTTCCTTTCTCTCTTATTTACAGAGTGATCTCAAAAAATCAACTTTTTGGTTTTGCAGCCATAACTTTTTTCCACGTCAACCGATTTTGGAAATCTTAGGCTCATTTTGAAGATAAAACTTTGGATGAAGAGATCAGAATTGACTCAAGATGGCAATCAAAGATCTAGAGTTTTCTTGAAAGTGACCCAAATCTGGAACGCCCTCCGAATCTCGGTTGGGAGGAGAATTGAATGAGAATCAACTTGTTCTCGGAAAAACAATTCATTCTGGATGCGTCCATATTTTCCTCGCTCTCAGTACTCAAGAATGTGCGTGAGAAAACACAATTGGAACATGTTCTTGCAAAAACATCAGACCATTTCTCCTCTGTAATGCATGGTCCGTAACCAACGTTACAAGAATCACAGTAAGTGACTGACAAGTCAGGTTAGACGTCGTTTTCGAATCATAAACAGATTTTGATAGTTTCGATGCCGCATCTAACGCCCGACCAGTTGGAACTGTACCACAAATGAGGGAACAAGGGTTATCTTCCCTCCAAATCGCGGATCTGCTAAACACGACAGTCCGATCCATTCAAAGGGCTTATCTCCGACACGAATTGTTTGGTTATTACTGTCGATTCGTTCGGCGCATTATTGCGACTGAAAACTTTACGTAATTGGCAAACTGTTTTCATGAAACTCTCACCTTCACCTACTTCTCCATATTCTTAAATCGCATGTTATGTACGTGACAACTGTTAAAAAAATCACTTTATTGAAAAAATCAAAATCCGTTGCTCTTGTTGGTACACCATTTATGATGAGTCTCAGCTGGTCGGGTTTGTCAGTCACTCATTGTGATTCTTGTAACGTAGGTTACGGCGGGACATGCATTATAGAGTAGAAATGATCTTATGTTTTTGCAAGAACATGTTTCAATTGTGTTTTCTCACGCACAATTCTTGACTACTGAGAGCGAGGAAAATATGGACGCATCCAGAATGAATTGTTTTTCCGAGAACAAGTTGATTTTCATTCAATTCTCCTCCCAACCAAGATTCGAAGGGCGTTCCAGATTTGGGTCACTTTCAAGAAAACTCTAGATCTTCGATAGCCATCTTGAGTCAATTCTGATATTCAGATCTCTTCATCTGAAGTTTTATCTTCAAAATGAGCCTAAGATTTCCAAAATCGGTTGACGTGAAAAAAAGTTATGGCTGCAAAACCAAAAAGTTGATTTTTTGAGATCACTCTGTAAATAAGAGATAGGAAGTTGATTCGCGAAATATCTCGAGGTAATGAGATCATCTTCATGCCTCTGTTCTCGAAGTTGAGGAAAAAAATTTTTTCACCATCTGAGAGCCTTTTGAATATTCCGAAATTTCGCACAGTGTCGGAAGACACCATGTAGAGATTTTATGTGAATACCCTTGTTTCAATGAAGTACGAGATTATAGCTGAAGGACTGGGATATCGAACAGTGTGAACCAAATTCAAATTGTTCTGAACTGAAAAAAGTTATTCACATTATAACAGGGGCGACATTTTGGTGTGCGACGAAATTAGTGATGAGTAGTTTATAAGCGATGTTGCAGTCAAGGAGAGTACGGTATTATTAAGAGCATTGGAAACATTTTTGCACATCTTGATTCGACTAACAGATCGTCTGCACGGATGTTTGGGCAAAACGGGGATTCGATCATCACCATAATTCAATGCAATCGATAACTATTGCACAATATCAATTAGTTTCGATCTTCTCCTGAAGATGTGTAGCATAGTATATCAAAAATACATCTTCTGAACTATCCACTCACCCAATTTCACTCCCACAACCGCCGAAGTAACGTCATCCTGCCCGTATCTACCCACGTCGATGGGCAACAACTTGTTGGACGATTGCATCGCCACCAGCACATCGTACGCCTTTCTGCTCGCATCGCCGCCGGTCGCTGGCAGTTGTTGGAACAGAGTGTGCGGTATGGTGACAGAGGCGTCCGTGCCACGACCTTGGAAACCGGCGGGGTCCTGCTTGTAACTGGGCACGCACGAGAACAGGGTGTCTTTTCGCTTGTTCGGGTTCACGTACCACGAGCATTTCAGACCTTGGAAGCCCTCCTTCTTCACTTTGAAGACTTCCAGAGCTAGATTGCTCTGGAATGCAAAATACATATGGTTCAACTTCGGTTTCAGCTGGTGCCCTATTTGTACGCTATCTGGCGGACTTTTTGGAAACTGTCAAAGCGGTCTGTTAACTCTGTTTACACTCAGTCTTTGGTTGGTCACATCCATTAAAACAAACGGCTCAGGATTGCGTTCAATTATGGTAAGGTTAGTTGAAGGTTTTGGCATTTGAAACGAACTTAGAATTAGTTTATCGACATTGAAAACGTGGGTTAAGTTTAGTGTTAGTTTAGATACGATTCATAAAGACGCAAAAACGGCCATAAAAATCATTCAGTGGGAAATAGATAGACAAATTCTGTAGATAGCTGCGATAACATGTGGAAGATCTTATTTTCCAATTACAAATGAATAATGTTGCCCCGTATCATTGTTGAATGTTGAAACCATGTGTTGAGTTCTCCTATATCTACTACTAAAGCAGATTTGTCCTCCTCAACAGATTCTCAGTATCACTTTCTAAGGTGTGAATTATTTGAGGATATAAAAAAATCATAACTGCATTTTACATGAACCTATAACCCAACTTGAAACAAACAAAAATCACCTCCTCGTCTTTGTTCACCCTGTAATAACCTGTAATACCAAACTATTTTGCCGAGGAGTTAACTTGACGTCAAAAACTCTAGAATTTTCAAAAGACAGTCATAAAGTAGAATATATCAAATAGAATTGGAGAGGGTATTATTGGAATGCACGCCAGAAGTGTTCAAGGAATTGTCGTAAGGATTATCAGAAACAGAAATGTATGACATTTTGATCAAAAAATTTTGAAACTTGTTCAAAATTGCCATGACCTTTGAGCATTGCAGATTTTGTAACGAGTTTTCCCAAAATTAAAATTGGCGCAGTCGGTAGGCCCTTGCTTACGAAAAAGTTCAATTCAAAAGCTAACCAAACGACGAAGTACACAATAGATGAACAGACTATTGAAAATGGGGACAATAACCGTAGTTACTTTGGGAATTTTCAAATAAAATTGTCGCATTAATCAGAACAATTTACTTTCTAGCATTTTCTTCAAAAATGTTTCCAAACAAACGACTCAGGACTGTATATACAGTGTGTCCCACTTAACATGCTCACCATGGGTATCTTTCATAATGTATTGTCACCGAAATTATGAACACCTGCCAAATCTCAAGTTAATCGGAGTTATGGAATTTTTGTTGAAATTAAAAAAAAAGGTGCTCCAAGATGGCGGACAAGATTTGGTCCGATTCCATTCAAAATTGGTAAGTGGGGGTTTTTGAGGTCGGAGATCATGATTTTCTTGTTTTTGTATAAATGACAATAACTCCGTTGTTATCAACACAAAGCTATTAATGCGACATATCATCTGTAAGAGAAAAAAAAGTTATTTGTAACTAAGTCATAGTGAGCTATGACCTACATTTGAAAAACTGAAGTTGGTGCTGATATCTCAAATTCTAGAAAAGTTGGTATAAATTTCATATTTTTTTCGAAATCAATTTGAAAAACTGCCATGAGGATGTGAAATTCCTATTTGAATATTTTCATAAATAAAGAAGTTACGGAGGAGACGTGAAAATCATCAAAATCTGTTTTTTGCGTATAAAACAAAAACGAATAGATTTTCTCAAAATATTTTTTCACATTATAGTTGGCCTTCACAAACTCCACATTTGGTGTCATTTAACCGACCTCGTATCTCTCACCGTTAAAAAGATACCCATGGTGAGCATGGTAAGTGGGACACACTGTATAGAGTTCCCCCAAAAATAAAAGGAATTGTTTGAAAACATTTTTGACAAAAATCACATTTGCAACTGTCAATGACATCAGGTTATAATGGTCCAGTCCTTAGGTTTCATCACAAGTGATTTTCTTCCCCAAAAATTGACGTCACCTATGAAGCCAATCAAAATACATAGCCTATACTGAGGTCATCAATTTATTTTGATGAAACATCAGGATATTTCAATGTCAATGTCACAGATTCGTGATTGGGTTTATTGAACTCAGAATTTTCACGCCCTGTATGAATATCAATTTGTCATAAGTTGATACAAAATCAAATAATATACCTTGTGAAGATTAGATTTGCTAATTTCTGCTAAGAACTCTGTTGCATTAACCAGCCTCTTGCAAACATCATATTCCACATCGGCTTCTCTTATATAATCAGCAGGCAATTCCATCAGATTATTCACAGAATCAACAAGATTGGCACCGATAATACCGATATGTTCCGCCGGCGCGAATTTAATATAATTCTCGATAGTGGACACGGCATACACCAAATCCATTACATCTCTAAAAATGTCCACATTCGAAGTGTAATTCTTGAAATGTTTGGCACTCTCCTCTATGCTTTCATTGACCATCGAAAACTGATGGAGGATCTTAGTGGTATCAGAGATGTAGGAGCACATGGAAGTATTCAGATTCGCCCATTCGCCGCTGCTGGTACAAGAGTAAGTGGCCTTTTGAAAGGACGCATCGTAGTTCAAATTCAAAATCTCGCAGGGTATGGAAACCGTGTGGTTTACTATGGTCCTCGGCCAATTGTATATCCCTTTGTTATTCGAAACCACTGTCATGGGGCAGTACTTCGTGTCATCAGAGATGACGATGATAGACAATCCTTTGGAGTAGTTTCCGTGGATGGAGGAAAACAAACAGTTCCACACTCCCGTGTGATTTTTCTCCAATTTCGGTACAGAAAGGGTGCTACAAATCTTCCCGGCACTTCCCAATGTTTCATTCTCAATCCTGAGATTGGAAAAGAATAACTTTGGGTCGGATCCTAGCCAGGACCATTGGATGGTCAACCTGGAATGAGCCTCCAAGGAATCTGATATGCTGGGAGCGAAACATTGAATGGTTAGAGGGTCTCCTTCGAAGACCACTTGGTTTTCCCTGGGTTTTAGTTCGACGATGGGCAGACCCTTAGTGCCTGCTGGCGATTTACAATGGATGTCGTCTCCTATCCTCAATTTCCTCAAGGATCGGCCTTTGAATGTCGAAGGAGATGCGCATTTTGGGTTGGACATGAGTTTGACGTTTTTGGTTCTTTCACTCCAGTCGTGGAGCCACAGCAGGCTACAATCACAAACGAGAGGATTGTTTGAGATGTCTCTGAAAAATAAAATGCTTTTATGAAACTCCATGAGTACCTACTAAATTTTGTCCATGTTAGGAAATATAGGTATGCTCTTGATTGCAACAAATGTTCCTATTTTCAAGGGAGGAATCTGTAGTATTCCAGATGTTGTAAACACTCGCAAAAGTTATTGAAATTTCAGTCAAAAAAATGCTGGTATTTTCAAACTGAAACAATTTGATAAGTCTTCATCAGTTTGGGTTTCGAATTTCCACAAGTACCAATGATGTAATGTTTGATTCATTAATGAGCCTCATTTTAACGTGTAGCGGTAGCAAGTGCATCTTAGAAAATGTGTGGCTTAATGATAGTGTCTTCAGAAAATATCAGATGAACAGACTGATAATGAATTATTGGCATTCAATTATTATTATTTTTGAAACACTTCTCACAGTTTTTTTATGTAAATAATGAGTGTATGCATTGTTCGAAACTTTTGAATTTCGTAGCTCATTTCAAACGTACCGCCATGGCCACTATATGGCGATACGTCGAATAAATGGTGACGTCAGCTTATGTGCTGTTTCGTTACTGGTCAGATAATCTTTCATTTCCACTCATGAAGCAAGGTTGTCAAATCATCAAGTTATCAAAAAGATGTTAGGGTCCTGTCGTTGAATAAAACTTAATAGGAGGAACCCATGATGTACAGTTCATTCTCGACTTTTTCGAGCAACAAGCATGACCGAATAGTTTAGTTTAGTTTATTTAACAAAGGTTATGTACAAAAAAAATACATTTGTTGCAGGTCATAAACATTACATCTAGTGGGTAATGTAGGGTAGTGAATACAAGTGCTTATAAATAGGTAATAAATCAATATAGCACACAAAAAAAAAGTTTTGTCAAACAAAAACAACAAAAAAGTTAACATCGAATAGTTATTATTGTACCATGAGCCCAAATATCAACACATCAGCATGTAAATACGGTCAACGTCAGATTCAATTTCCTTTTAGGTTTAGAAGGGCGTTCGTAAGAATTTCTCAGTTGAATCGTTGATCGAAAGCAGTGCTTCACAATGAATTTCCTCAGGAGATTTTTAAAGTGAAGGTAGTCAGTATTGGTCAATTTGGTTGGAAGTACATTATAGAGCTTCAAATTTATGGAATTTTTTTGTGATTTTGCATGTCGGTATCTTGGACTTTGCAGTTGATTAGCAGACCTAGTGTTTTATTCATGATGATCACTCCGAATCTGAAATTATTTCCAGTATCGAACAATAGATATAAAGCGATGGCAGAGGCATTATGGAATATTTAATGAATAGCGGTTGGCAGTGCTGACGGGTCCTTCCACAGGCAATGACTCGTATTGCCCACTTCTGCTAACCGAAAATCTTTATAGCGTTAGCAGCATTACCCCAAAGAATAATTCCATAACTCATATGCGAGTGGGTTAGGGAATAATAAACGGACAGGATAGTATCCTCATTAACGCTTTTTTTGAGTTGTCTAAATAGAAAAATATATGAAGAAACTCTGTTACTGATATGAGTGATATGAGTCGTCCAATTCAGGGAATTGTCTAGGTATATGCCCAAAAGCTTGGCACTTCTACCCTCGCAGTAATGTCTGTTGCTCCTGAAAATCAGTTTATGTATTTTGTCCTGTCAGTTGTCAGTTTCAATTTATTAGCGGTGAACCATTCCTCAGCAAAATTTTCAGTGTTCTTTATAGCTGCATGTATATTGGCTGACTAGTCTATTTGTAAATAAATAATAGTAAAGATCGTTCACATAGGTGATAAAAAGTACCGGTCCGAGTACCGAACCTTGGGGTATGTTCATGTTCAATAAATTTGAAGTCAGATGTGTTGTTTATCAATCATAACACACTGTTTTCTGTTCTTCAAGTAAGACCTCAATTTCGTGATTGACACAGTCGAAGGCCTTGCTGAGATCACACATGGTAACGGCCGTGTGTTTTCCCTCTTCAAGGCCCTCGACTATGTCTGCCACGATTTTACATACGGCATCAATGGTTGAACACCCTTGCCTAAAGCCGAATTGACTCTTGTGCAGTAAATCAAATCTTTCAAAATATTCAATTAAACGATTCTCCGAAATGATTTCCATTAGTTTGCCAAATATAGGTATGATGGAAATGGGTCGGTAATTGTCTGGAAGTTGAACATTCCCTTTTTTGAATATAGGAATGATCTTCACGACTTTGAAAATATCCGGGAAAGAACCCTGTTCGAAACATAAGTTGAGGTAAACTAACGGCTCAACTAGTATGTCCTGAGATTCTTTTATGATTTTACTCGTCAGATCATATAAATCTGCGCTGGTTGTATTTTTGAGGCGCTTTATAGCATCCAAAATTTCTAAATTCGTGACTGGTCCCAGGAAAAAATTTACATTATGTTCTGGTATGAACTCCAAGTAACTGTTTGCGACATATCTAGATACAGGTAAAGACCTTGTTACGTTGTCAACTCTAGTAGCAAAGAAATCTATGAATACATCTGGGTGTGGTGGAGCTTGGTTCATATTATGTTTTTTCCGGTTACCTTCAAAGTTTGCTATTCTCCAACTGTCTCTGCTTTTGTTTTTGGAGTTATTGAGATGTTGTTCATATGCCTTTTTTTTTCTTGTGCTGATGAAATTTTGTAGTTTTTTTGTGATTCCTTGAAAGCTATTTGCGCCAATGGGTCTTTGGTTGAGTCGTAGATAAGTTTAATACTCGAAACTCTATCACGCATTTCACGTAACTCATCATTAAACCATTTTACAGGAGGATGTTCCTATTTTGTAGTTTTCTTCAGTGTAAAAAAATTATTAACTAGAGATTGAAAATTATGGATTATGAATTCAGAGAGATAGTCAATATCTTTCGAGGAATAATAATCAGAATGCCAATTTAAGTGGAGCAATGAGGTCTTGAAATCTATCAAGCCTTGATCAGTTATTCTCCGCTTCCAGGTTTTCACATGGGTTACCACTTTGCCTTCAATATCAATGAATATTCCATAATATATCAGAGAAGCAGCATTTCATATTAATGTTCATCAAGATATTGTCAATACATGTTGATGATATATCATTGACTCTAGTGTATTCAGAAATAGAAATTTCAAGTCCATAGGATGATACTAGACAAACCAGGTCGGCCCATGCACTGGATGAACCCAAGAAATTTATATTGTAATCTTCAAGCAAAACAATGGCCCTATGTCTTAGATACTTCATTAATAATTCTCCATGACAAAGATCGTGTGAATGTTGGAGACTTGGCAACATTGTGCTGAATGCTGAGAACTGACAAGATCACGCCAAGTCGTGCGCCAAGGTTGTCACGTTCACCGATTCAAATGTCCTCTAGTGTGAATTAATATAATTATTATTCACACACATTTATTACAAGCAATAAGCCACAAATCATAGGGGAACATTTTGAGACAATTGCATTTTTATTGCTAATGAGGAATATTACCAATACTCAATCGAGATTTTTTTTTTATGTTCTGGTTCCCAGGAAAAGGGATATCCTGTAATGTTCAGAAAACATTGTGAGACCCAAGGGAAATAAGGTAGGAATTCCATGTCAATATAAAATCTTACTATATGGTTTTATCAAGATGATTTTAACTGATTGGATAAATCTTGACCAGTGTTCTGTCAATTTGTGCAGCCTGTGTCTTTGTTTTATGGTTATCTTATCAGTAGATTTTTGAAAAATTCAAGGAATGCCCTCAGATGCTCAGTACTTTTTTGAAGCAACCTTACCTTTTTATAAATGCCTTCACCAAAATTGTAAAGGACAATATTAAATACTTCCTCGACGATTACAAAGAGCTCTTTCAAGGTTTCCATTATACCTAATGAGTCAGAAATTTACATTTTTGCTTTAGATAGATCCATTGATAACAATGCGAATTTATGGCTCATTTACTAAAGTGACAACATTCAAAGGGTATTTTGTGTGGGATGGAGAAATACGGTGTTTGGTGAAGGCTCTTATTTTGTTTTCCACTATCACTATCAGTTGATTCGATTTTCCTAGAAAACGGTTGTTTCTCCATTAACTCAGAGAATTTTTCATTTTGCTGTTTTTTCTCTGAATCAATCATTTTTTTATTCATGTGCTCATGAAAAAAAAAAGGAAATTTGTATACTCTTGTCTTAATTTATGCATTGGTAATATGATGTTTAGTGGAGTATTTAGTAGGAGCAAAAATTATAGGGGATTTGTATGTTAGAAATGGAAATTCAAGGAATTCTAATTGATAGCTTCAAAGACAGTAATTTAATTCCTGAATTGATTCAAATTTTCTCCAATGGGAAAAACACATTATTACCTTCAATTTAAACTACTTTAAACTGCAAAATCCGATGGCAGTATGGCAATCATTATGAACATCTGACAACCATGGAGCACTCTTGGAAAACCAACTTTTCTAATGAGGATTTTTAATGAGTAGGTACAGTGGTATAAAATAAAAGGGGTACAAGTATGTTAGAGAGAGAAATTAACATCATCCTATTCACATAAAACAAGCTATCTGGTATGATTGTTTACCAAATGTTGACAGTAAATTAATCATAGGTTCTCAAATACACAAAGCATTGGCTGAGACAGTTTTACACAACTACATAGAACTAGGATGAGGAAAACCTCTCTTTTTAATACTTATATGCTTTTTTATTGAATATGAGTGTACCTAATAAGGTACATATTATGTATATATTATTTTGTATTTGATCACTAGTTTTGTTTGTTCAAGATTTTGAAGGAAAATAGAAATTTTTATTTTTACTATCTTGCTTGGGTTGATTGAATTTTATTTTTTTCAACTGAATTAGGTGAAGTGGGGTAAGTGTAATCAGAAAAACAATAGTTAAAAACAATCAGTACTTGCATAACAAGTGAAAATGCAGGTGATCCATAGCTCAACCAACATTTAGAACAGAGGCCTTGAAAAAGATAAACATTATATACAGGTAAAAAAAGGGTTACAATTTCATGATTACATTTACCCCACTTCACCTTAATTCAAAAAAGTTTTCATTATATTTAGACATTAATGTATGGTTAAAAAATCACTGAATAAGGAACTATTTGATGGGATCACCTGATTTGATATCATGATATAAAATATCATAAAATATGGTGACATGTAATCATCCTGAGATAATCAACTAGGTATTTTTCCAAGTATTTTTCTAGTAATATATTTGAGATTTAGATACATACCTATAGGAAGGAATATGGAAGATGATTTGACAAATTTATGGAGCTAAAAATACATTTATAATTATATACATTTACAATGAATTGCATAAGAATTGAATATTCTCAATGAACATTGGTGCCAATGAGACCAAAACAATAAAAAACTTACAGCTGTTTGATGCTTTCCAATGGATCAAATGTACCCAACACTATTGCACTAATTTGATTCTGGTTTAGTTTGAGTCTCTCCAAATGTCTCAGTTTATCAAATGCTAACAAATCAATGTATCTGATACTGTTAGCAGATAAATCCAGTCTTCTCAATTTTGGTACTTCAGCAAACTGCTGTGCCTGTAATTCAGTCAACTGATTGTTGCTCAAATCCCTGAAATGACAATGAATCATACAGGAGGTTCATAAGATTAGAGAATGAATATATCTTACAATTTTTGAAGTACTATCAGTTCTACTTTTGGTGAAAAGGACTTCAAAGTGTTATTTGAAAGGTTCCTAAAAATATAAATTTGGCTTAGCAATTTGATAACATTGAATGAGGAGTTGAATGATCCTAGTGACTTCCACTCAGTAATCATTTCTTCAAATTAACTGCAAACACTGAAAACACCATTGCAGTTTCATCTTGGACCTGATATAGGACTCACAGCCAGAACTATTCAACACTTTATAGAAAATATTATGTGCATAAAACTTACAGTTGTACTAGTTCACTAGCTAAATCTAGTAGTTCCAATTCATCAAGATGAAATATTTTTCCTTCCTCTCTGCCACCACAGGCCATTCTCAAATACTCATCATTCTGATTGTTTCTTTTACAAGAACACTTCATAGGACATTTTTCTTCAGTGCTCAGTGTTTTGATATTAGTGGCAAGGAGCATACAAAAATACATCAGATACATCTTCACTGGAATTTTCTTCATGATGAATAGGAATAACATTCAACATTTTAGACTTTTTCGGAATTCCTTTGCATTGTTTAAATTCAAGTCATACTTTTCTCTGAAGTCGAAAAAATAATGCTATCCAAGTCTTTGGAGCACCATAATAATTTTGGTATGGTTGGTATGAAGATACGTCCACACGTCAGGTATCTATTTGCAAAGTAGAGTTTTCTAGAAACATTGGAAAGGAGAGTTTCTGATCCCAAAGTAATATAGAATACTGAAATTGCAATAAAATATGAATTATTACAAGACAATAATATAAACACAAATACAAATACTACAAATGACTGTCAGACTGTCATCTCAGATCTGTCACTAATTGACATCAGCGACATTTGACGTGGACATTGTGAGTAGTTATTGTGATCTGAAGATTGATAAACTAACCAAGGTGGCCTCAATTGACCTGTCAATTATAATAGTTTTCACTTATATTATCTGTCAAGTAAACTATTTACCACTTAGTATCTGTCAATTAGGCTAGTTGACACTTGAGTATCTGTCAATTATACTAGTTACCCACATATCTACTACTCATATATGAATCATAGCTGTCCTCAAAAAGGGATCAACTTCTGTCTCTATAGGTAACGAAATCGACCAATAGGCGTTGATGCCGACGTAGGGAAAAAATAATACGAAACTTGTCAATATGGCTGTTTCCATCCTTCACTTTCCGTCCTCATAGATTCAAAAAATACGGCTGCGTTTTTCATTCCAACATTTTATCATGCGCATGAATCGAAGAAACCATCAAACTGTTGCAAAATTCCGCTGGAATGTTGATGGACATCCATCAAACTGTTGTAATAAAATGCGCACTTTTAAATCGCATTTCGAGAATCCAGCAGTTTGGAGGAGATTGACATGACAGTTGACATATTTTAGTGTTGTTTTTTGTTTTGATTTGATAGAAAATAATTAATATTGAGGATTTTTGAGATTCTTGAGAGATTTTAGAAGAAAGAGTCAGTGTTAATCAATAAAGTCGAATTAGCCTTTCCTGATTCTCAAGATAAATGATGACTGACACACAACAAAATCCGTGTTTCCATCAATGTGTTGTATAAACCATTGTTCAATCCTTCCAGCATAAATTCCAACAGAACAATTGGTGACGTCACGACAAAAAACCGCATCTATCAGTGCGCACTTTCTTCGATGGAATGAAAAACACGCCCTACCTCTCATTTTGATCTCATGTTTGTTGAGATATCGTATAGGCACCGAACATAAACGAGCTGTGAAAAAGAACATACCTATATGCACAGCTTTTCGTGTTTGTGAAAAACAGCGCGTGACGCGTGACAGGATTGACAGGAAGGATATTAGTATTAGTAAATTTGTCAGTTTCAAAGTGGATCTTCTGAAAAATTCAACGTAATAATGGTCGATACAGAATATTTCTTATTTATTGGAGAACATTTCAAACAAATAGAGGACATAATTGATTCGAGAAAATCGTTAGGTCAGTACAACGTTAACAAGCTAAATAATGGTTCATACTTTAGGTGTACAAATTCTAATGTAAGTGATGCCAATGATAATACTTTGCGGTTCATCAGATTTGAAGATACTATTTTTATGAATGACGGCGATTCGTTGAATAACTCCTTTGTTAAGCAAACTGATTCTGAAGTTACTGTAGTTCGAGTGAAATGTAGTGATGTAACGCTCAAAAGACGTCGTAGCAAATGGGACATGCACGATATCGCTATACCAGGAGATGGTTCTCATTTGGGTGAAAGTCCATCTCTGGTAAATTTGGTAACTCTAGTAGGCAACGACAGACCTTCTGAAGGTGAAGAGTATCTGGTTCCACTCTCTTCTTGGGATCCCTATTACAAATCTGATGTATTCTCGCGTATTGCCAAATGCTGTTCAGATTCGAAGTTATGTGAAACCACTTCTACAAGTAGAAATACAAATATAACCATCACAGATAATATATCTGAAGGTAGTAAGATGAAGGAAGAAAGAAATGTTGCAGTTTGTACAAGATCCACTTTGGCGGGAAAAATTTCAAAGTTCATAAGGAAACACTGCACAAAACCAAAAGTTCCACGAAATGATATTTTGAAACCATGAAACACCACAAATCAGTCGTTGTCATTGAAGATTCCTGTCATCTGTCATGGAAATTCGAAGTTTGAGGTTAGCGTTCCAAATTTTAAATATTTTAATGGTGTTGATTATTATTTTTATAGAAAAATGAAAAATTACTGAAAAATGTGTTTATTTTACATCAAGTTAGATTAAGTGATTCGAGAAACAATAATTCTCATAAAATAAGACAACAAAACGATTTTTTTACGAAAAGGTAAACATTTCTATCCCATCTCATCTCAAGCTAATCTTATCAATGGAACAGAAGATTCTTGTTGTGAGATTTCCTTGAGTTCATAGATATATTTCATAGCGTTGAATGAACCTTTCGTTCTTCGATAATATTCTGTGAAATATTTCTTTATTATTTACAGAAACTCCAAATGGCTGCCCATCAAGAAAACAATATTACAAACATATATGACCCCAATGAAACTGGTTATGAAACATTCTTAGTAATTCTACCTTCATTTTTTTATACATTTATAACAGTTATGGTAGAATCATTCATGATCCCACATAAAAAATCTCAATTTTTGATAGAATTTGGTATCCTTATCATGCCTTTAGTTTTTGGTATGACTCTTTTCTCAGATTATTATATACATATTTTGTATGCCCTTATATCTACTGTAGTGATTATGTTTTTTTGGTTGTTCAATAGGAAACCAAAATTAGGTAGAAGTATAAAGACACCAACTAAAGTTGGATCAGCTTCAAGTTATGTAACAAATGCTAGGTCAACTATAAACACATTATCTGTAATTGCAATTTTAGCAGTAGACTTTAATATCTTTCCACTTCTGTATGCTAAAACTGTAACAAGAGGCTACAGTCTCATGGATACTGGAGTTGGCCTATATGTATATTCTAATGGTATAGTATCTCCTGAAGCAATGGGTAAAAGTAATTCTATTAAAAAGTCTTTCAAAGGGTCCATCCCTTTATTCATCTTAGGTATTGGAAGATATGTATCAACCAAACTATTGGACTATAATGTACCAGTTTCTGAATATGGAATACATTGGAACTTTTTCATAACTTTAGCAGTCACCAAACTGTGTTCATCAATTTGGTTAAATATATTTAAAGTAAAACATATATATTGGAATGCACTTCTATCAGCTCTGTTATATCAGATATTGTTGAATAGTGGTGTTGAGGATTTTGTGTTTGATGAAAATGTTGATCGTGATAATTTCATTAAAGCCAACCGAGAAGGTGTTGTTTCTACTTTTGGGTTTGTTACTTTGTACTTATTTTCTGTTTATTTTGGTACTATATTGGATCTCAAAGGAATTGCTCTTACAGCAGAGAACCTTGGGATGAGGTTGAAGAAGATCATCCTAGTTGCTTTCACATCATTATTCTTTTCTATTATTTGTCAACAATTATTTGGAATATCTAGAAGACTTGCTAATCCTGCCTATTGCTTCTGGATACTATTTTTAGGAACTTTCATGACTGGCCTTTTTCTCATTCTACAAATTGTCCAACAGTCAATTTTCAAAACAAGGGCAGCTGTTTACAGTCCGTACATTTTTGAAGCAATCAACTACAATGGATTAATATTTTTTCTTGTTGCGAATTTATTGACGGGTTTTGTGAACATGACTTTTAATACCATAAATTTTGAAAATATTGGTAGTTTATTCATTATAAATACGTATATGTTGATCAATTGTGGTATAGTATGTATTTTGTTTTCTTGGAAATACAAATTTAAATTGTGAAGAAAATTCTTCAGAATTTTATATGATACCATAACGAAAAACTAACAAAAACCAACGGAGAAAACTGGACTAGTGAAGAAAATATTTTAGTTTAATAATGAGCATGTAGAAATAGATCTTTATTCACTGATTTTTCAGTGTATATTTATCGTGTTACATTTTTCTATAGTACAGAAAAGTAAACTAGGCTGCGCCACATCATAACTGCATCATTTTAAGCGACACCCTCTATAAATTTGATTTGAAGGTAGACATCAATCTTCAATGATTTTTATACTTGTTTACTTATTTCTGTTGAGTTCTTCAATAATTATTATATCTACTTATTCAAATAGTTGAGATATGGATTCGCCAAAACTTCGTGAGTCACCTTGTATATGGATTATCAAGCGGGACATTCAGCCGAAATGGTTCTGATTGGTCACAGTCACAGAACTCATTGCTGTGATTGGATTGCTGTATTTTAAAGTTTGTGTTCGTGATGCCCGTGATTTCCGTTTTCTGTATGATCTAAGGTTGTATGTGAGCAATAAATTGACGTAACATCTCATTCAGTACTGTGGCTATATTCCGAATTCAACTGACAGTACTGAATCTGCTGAATTTTCATTCCGAAATCAAAAAAATTGACTGAAAGTGACAGATACTCGTGAGCAGATATACTATTCATTCCAAATATTTCGACTCAACATTCTGCTGAAATTGCTGACTATCAAAAGGTAGTGTGGCTTCAGTGAACTGTCATTATTTTTGAGGGGAAAGGCATGACACATTCATTTCTGTTGTTTTTCAGACTATTAAGTCTTGGCTTATCAATAATACATTAATAATATCATTTTGATATCAGAAAATGCCTGTTATTTATTTAGCTCAAGCAGGAGCATCCGCCAGATCAATGACAGCTGACAAATTTCACCAGCTGGTCAACTGCTGCTGATTACTGATGAAAACGTGTTCCGAATTACAGCGCTGTATTTTTGATTTTATATTTCGGAACACAGCTTTTCAGCAGAGTCAATGGATCTACTGACAGTACTGACCAGTTGAATTCGGAATATAGCCTGTAAGGTCTGTAAGATGACCCTAACGTATATCAGGTAAAAACGAATTCGTATTTAAATCCTAGTAACTTGTTTAGTACCTTTTTCTCGCGGCAAGTCGGCAACATTGTGTATTAGCGTCTGCGGACAGATGCAAGTAATAACTCCGTGGTGGGAGAACGTTATAGTGGGCAGTAGATGCGACTGGCGTTATGCGGCGCCGACTGAATGACTTCATCATACTTCGTCTCGTAAGCAAATGGTTGGCTCAGTAAACAGAGCATCGGCATGCCAAGCCGGCGGGCCGGGGTTCGAATCCGTGCGAGGCTCATCTTTTTTTTATTTTTTTCTTGTTCTCAAGTGATTTCTAAAAAATATTCTCTATGGGAAATAGGTTCATTTAGGGGTTTTCTATGTTTAGGCCAGAGGTGAGGTTCGGTTAGGTTAGGTTAGAATAGAATAGAATATTTTATTTGGTGTTAATACAAGTACAGATATACATATGTACCGCCGAAGCGAGTACATATACTAAAAATGTGGAACGCTTTACGATTTTGCGTGTCATCCTTGCGCAGGGGCCATGCTAATCTTCTCTGTATCGTTCCAATTTTTAGTATATGTACCGCCTTCTCATTTTTTATGCAGAAACAATATTTTCCTTCCTCAAGAAAAATTCTCCTTCTTCAAGAAAAAAGGTTCATCTAGGTCGATTGATTGTTAAAAAAAAATGCCTTCCTTATATTAGACTCGACACAAGTTAACTAACGTTCCCCTACCACGGAGTTATTACTTGCATCTGTCCGCAGACGCTAGTACATTGTGTTAGTTTCTATTCTCCTCTTTCTCTTCTCTTCGCTGGTTCTCTTTCTCTTAATTATTTTCCTTTTTGTTTGTGATTGTGCTGTGAACAGGTTGGTGGGTCGGTATCGGTGAGTTGAGATTTTTTTCTAATTAAATCTTCAGCCATCTCTAATTTCTTTGCACATTTCTCAATTTTGGTTGAATTTGAATAAATATATCGCTTTGGAGTTCAATACGCTTTATATATTGTTTTGATTTCTCTCTGAAATGAATTACAAACAAAATTATCCTAACACATTTTCAATTTCCAGACTTTCAAAATGAAATTCAACAAGTTGGTAACGGCTTCGAGAAACAAAAATAGAAAGAGGCATTTCACAGCCCCTTCGCATATCAGAAGAAAGCTCATGTCCGCTCCCCTTTCCAAAGAACTTCGTCAAAAATACAATGTTTCCACCATGCCGATTCGAAAAGATGATGAAGTTCAGGTATGTTCCAGCAATATTGTAACTCTCAACATAATTATGTTCCTTATAGTTTTGATTTAAGGTCGTACGAGGCCACTACAAGGGACAACAAGTAGGCAAAGTAGTGCAATCTTACAGAAAGAAGTTCGTCATTTACATAGAAAGGATCCAAAGGGAGAAAGCAAATGGGGCTAGTGTATATGTAGGCATCCATCCTTCAAAGGTGAGAAAATATTGAGACTTCACTTGGTTTTGTTGTGATTTATGGTGGATTTATGCAACATTTGCATAGTCCGAATCATGTGTCATAATATCAAGCATAACTAGAAGTTGAAACAAGGTACTTGCATGAGGCCATTTACACAACAATTTTAGTCTTAATCATAAGCACAAGCCTAAGAAACGACCAGTGTTGTTCCTGGGTCTGATTTTCTTGTAATAGATTTCCTTGGAAAAAGGTAACAGATTTGTATCAAACTCAAAAAATCTGACATTTGACATTCTAAATGTCATTCTTGTCAAACTATCGCACAAATTAAAAAGTTTTGACAGGAATGAGGCAGAAGTCACACAGAACTCATGACATAAATATAGAATATAGACCCATAGAGCAGAACATAATTATCCGCTGAACACAGAAATAGATTTTTCAGCAACAAGACATCATATTTTGGTGCTAATAGCAAATAGTAATAGATTCATGACGAATCGTAATATTGTAACAATCTCCGAGAAATAGTAATAGATCTATTACAAAAGTAATGACAAGAACAACACTGGAAACGACCTTGAAAGTTGATTAATGTGAACTTTTACCCTTATGCTTTATGTCAGCTTTATGTTATGTGGATTCGGCACTTTACAGTGTTGTTCTTGTCATTACTTTTGTAATAGATCTATTACTATTTCACGGAGATTGTTACGATATTACGATTTGTCATTAATCTATTACTATTTGCTGTTAGCACTGAAATATGTTTCCTTATTATATGTCATAAGTTCTATGCCTCATTCCTGTCAAAACTGTCTAATTTTTGCAGTAGTTTTTGACAAGAATGACATTCAGGATGTCAAATGTCAGATTTTTCGAGTCTATTACCTTTAGATACAAATCTGTTACATTTTTCCAAGGAAATCTATCACGAAAAAATCAGACCCAGGAACAACACTGTCGGCGCATGCTCCTTTGATAGAATTGTTGATGATTTGTTGTTTACATGTTCCGAAAATGATATTATTATGAGAAAGCTCAGATGTTGATCAGTTTGATAGATAATTCTCATCTCTGATACAAAAAGAGCCACAAATTCTCACATCAGTCTTATGCTTAAATCAAGTTTTAATCTTTTTGGATAAATACCTCAAATCTTTAAAACAATTAATACTAAGACTAGGACTATGCATATGCAAATGTTGGCCATTATTCAATAATTGTTTTGTGATTCAATTACATGATGAACCAAACCATTCTTAGACTGCAGATTCTGGACTCTATGTGTAAACACGTTTTCCAAAGTATTTTTGGAAATTCAGTGTTGCTCTTTTGTTTCAGCTGCACCCTGGTTTAAAATGTGGCACTGATTTATTGTTTTTTCATTTTTCTGTTGATCAACTCTGGTATGAAAACTTCTAAGTAAATAATTACTTCTTTCAGGTTGTTATTGTCAAACTGAAGATGGACAAAGACAGGAAGAAGATCATTGATCGTAGGGCCCAAGGGAGACTTGCAGCACTTGGAAAAGACAAGGGCAAATACACAGAAGAATCTGCAGCAACTGCAGTTGAGACACCCTAAGTAAATAATTTTATATAATAAATTAAACAAAGTTGTTTATTTAGTGTTTTTTCTTTATATTCCCAGTTTTTATTTATGAAGAGTTGACTTCTGCTGGAAAGGTATGAATTGAAAGTTAAGAAGCAATTAACTTTATTTTGGTGCATTAGAATAGTGCAACAAGAAAGTAGGTCATTAATTGTGATCAGTAGAAATTGGCTGGCAAATTATCATTTAGATAGGTAACAAAATATGTAAAGTAAGTACAGATACTGAAAAACTGGGATTACCAACTAACCAAAATAAACACAAAAAACCCAAACATTGATGAAATAAACCTCTGGTGCGCTCACTCTTCATTTGTTTCGTCAGACTGGTTCTTGATATAAACAATTGAATTTCAGACGATGACGTGGGGTTCACATATCGAATGTTAGATGGCGTGATTCTTAGAACTTATGATCAACATCAGTTCTACCAACCTTGATGCGGCTAAATCGCAAAATGTATTCCCTATCCAAGGCTATTCAAGACCTTGTTCCCTATCTTCATTGGTCACAATTGTCACATTGATGCCTGTAATGTTGGTATGGCACCAGACTAAATTTAGCGACATTCACCTATATGCATTCACCCACGCCATGTTATGTTCATCGAAGTAGGCGAAAATCAAGGAATTGTAAAACAGGAAAGGATTGAAGTGCAGTCACCAGAGGTTTATTTCATCAATACCCAAACAACAACCAGAACAAATGATTGTTTATCGATAAATTACTTAATTGAACAACTTACTTGCTTCATTGTCGAGTTTGACGTTTATTTTCATACCCAACTTTTGAATTTTCGATGATTTTAAATAACATACCTAGAGCACGCGTTTTCAGTTATCAGAGTTTTTGATGAAAATGATGAGGTTTTTCGAGAAATTACTAGACTAAGAAAAGTTTTAGAATTGAATTGCCCACAAAACAAAGCAAAGATTTTTAAAATCCATCAAGGGTTAACAAAATTCTGTTGAATATTAATGGTGCGCCACCCGGTATAACCCTTTTACAAATTTCAATTAAACTCTAGTTACTGTCAAGTAACGCCCTAAATACATCCACAAAGTGTACCAAATTTGGTTCCTTTAAGTTCAAGAATAACGGAGATACTGATTTTTTTCAAAATTTAAAACTTCACTTCCAAAGCCTATAACTCCTTAGGGAAGCAACTTGGTATAGAGGTAAGTTGCGTTAAATTGCCATATTTTGGAACCCCCTACATGCCCCTGCTCTATGTCGGTTCTTATGTGAATCACCCTGTAGATTCGGTTGCAGAAAAAATAGCATGTTTCATTCGGATCAAAAGTGACTTTATCGACTCGCAAATTTTGCTTTCGCTCGGCTACTCGCAAGTTTTGCTTGTCAAAGTCTCACTTTTAATCCTAATAAAACAATCTACTATTTCTTTTATTTTTCAACTAAGTATTTTACGAGAGCACTGAATTTAACGGTACATTCCAACTGGCCATGGTAATCTTTATCAACTGAACAGGAAGCAATGTACCTATACTTATTAATTGTCTCCGTTCAGAAGAGTGCAAGCGGATTCTCTGATTTTTCTTTAGTTGTTGTCTCTTCCAGTAGTAATAAACGAACAATTTTAACTTCTCTGTATTCAACAAATATAAAAAAAAAATTAACGGTACTCAGGCTGGTATAGTTTCTCTATGCGAGTATTGCCAAGATCGCGTTTCTTCTTGCGGTGCAGACGGATTGATACTCTGATAGGGCCCTTTTCTCATTGTCACCACTCTGGTTGTTTGGCTCGCCAAGTATTTCCGCCTTCTGTGTGCTAAGAAGGACAAAACGGCTATTCCTAAGACTGCGAGGAAGCAGATCAGGCATATCAGGATAATGCTGGACAGATATTCGTCTAGGAGAAATCGCACGCTGATTCCAGTTATTATTACTATCAGTATGATGAATATTGTTACAAGGACGATCCATAGACTGGTCCGATCTAAAAAAATAAAATAATTTACTATACAGGGTGGCATTGAAATAAGTGCAAATGTTTCAAACACTGAGGAAGCTCGACGTGTACTATCGAATGGCACTAATAAAAAAACTTTTGGGATCAAAATAAAATTTGAGGTTAGACCCCTTTTCCCACCCAAAGGTCTACACTGTAGACGTCACCTCTGTTCAAATTTTCATGCGGTATAGGCACAATCACGTAGAGTTCAATCATTTGAATTGTTTTAGAGTGGCGTACTTGATTTTTTTCTCGTATTTTATTCAATTTTTGGGATGAAATTTCGCGTTAGAAAAAGTCTGATATCATGGGCCGAATATTCCTTAAACTGTATTATGTTAATATTCAGCACATATGTGCACTTTATTTAAAAATTTCAAAAACACCTTGTGTATATAATTCTCCAGTCATGGTGTTATTGGTGTTAGTGGCGAAACGGAACGACCGATTCGTATGGAAATATTTGTGCGTATTCGGCAGGTATGAGAATATTTTTTAAATCGAAAATTCAAGATGGCTGATCCAATATGGCGGACGAGTTTTGTAATCCGATTTTATTCAAAATTGGTATCTGGGGATTTTCGGGGTGGCAGATTATGATTTATTCGTCAAAAATAGGAAATTCAGAATGGTGGATCTAATATGGCGGACGAGTTTTTTTTATTATGGTCCGATTCTATTCAAAATTGGTATCTGGGGGTTTTCGGGGTCGGAGATTTTGATTTATTCGTCAAAATCAGGAAATTCGAAATGGCGGATCCAATATAGCGGACGAGTTTTTAAATTTCATGGACCGATTCTATTCAGAATTGGTATCGGGGGATTTTTTGATTCTGAGATTATGATTCTTTCGTCAAAATTTCGAAATTCAAGATGGTGGATCCAATATGGCGGACGAGTTTTCTGATTATGATCAGATTCCATTCAAAATTTGTATCTGGAGGTTTTTGGAATCGCAGATTATGATTCTTTCGTCAAAATTCGGAAATTCAAGATGGCGGATCCAATATGGCGGACGAGTTTTGTAATTATGATCCGATTCTATTCAAAATTGGTATCTAGGGGTTTTCGGCGTCGGAGATCGGAGATTATAATTCTTTCGTCAAAATTTCGAATTTCAAGATGGTGGATCCAATATATATGGCGGACGACTTTTGTAATTATGGTCAGTAACTTCGAGGTCGGAAATTATGATTTCTTCGTCGAAATTGCGAAATTCAAAATGGCGGATTTGATATCGCAGACTAGTTTTTTTAAAATATGATCAGACTCTATTCAAAATTGGTAACTGGGTTGGTTCTCGGAGTTGTAGGTACTGATTTTTTCATCAAAATATGGAAACCGAAGATGACAGATCCAATATGGCGGACACGTTTTGTAACTATATGATCCGATTTCATTGAAAATGTATATCTGGGAGATTTTCTGGTCTGAGATTATGATTCTTTCATCAAAATTAGCAAATTGGAGATGGATAGTATCCAATATGGCGGACAAGTTTTGTAATTATCATGTACGATTCTATTCAAAATTTGTATCTGGGGGGTTTCAGGGTCGGAAATTATGATTTTATTCTTCAAAATTGGGAAATTCAAGATGGCATATTCAATATGAAGCCAAACTGAAGAGAAGAAGAAAAATTATAGTAGGTATAGTTTAAAAAAAACGGGATAGATTGTCGCAAACTAAAAAGAAGTAGAAAATTAAAATAGTAGTTTTAAATACTAAGTTAACGCAATGATCATTGCGTAGTCCTACTCCTTAGGTCATGAAATAATTTAGAAATAATCAAATGATCTCACCTATCAACAATGTAGAAGTACTTGTAGTTGTCGAAGCCACATTTTTTTTTATTGCTGTATTTGTTGCCATGTTATGTCAGCCACCAATATTGCACATATTAAGTAAGGACCTACCTACATATTGTTTCTCACCACCCTACATAATCTGTGTGATAATGTGCGATACACTTTTTTTTATTTAGAAGTGATATAACGTATACACGTATAGAGTAAATAAAATACAATAGATAAGAGCAGATTACGTTTATTTCTAGCACGATGTGTATAGGTACTAACAACACCAACTACGTCTGTGTAAAGTTTTTGACAGACACTTAAACTTTCACACGAATATCGTTTTGTTTTTGTAGATCTAGTTCGATTTTTTCCGTGACTTTATTTATTTTCATCGGATAAACTTCTGATTTCACAGCTAATCGAACAAATTTACATTTCCAACTTTGGTATGCAATTGATCACGCATATTGTGATAAAAGCAGTTGTTTACCTTGAGTACTGATAAATGTTGATACAGAGTGTGTGGATTGAAAATATACCCATGTAACGATTTTGGCAGGTTCCTTTCTTATTCATTTCATGAGTACAGTTTAATCTCTCGTGTGAAGATAAAATTGGTGGTTTTTTTGAATGGTACACTCCTCTGGGCCCTGGTATAGGTATAATTCTTTATTTGGTGATAATTCCATTTATACTTGAGGTGAGTTCACCCTGTAGATTCATGATGGGATTCTAAACATCCTTCTCAAAAAAATGAAATGGATATCATAAGGAATCCCTTTCGTGCGCCCCAGAAGATTAAAAAATAGTTATTTTTGTATTGACTGCGGCCAGAAATTCTCTCGAATGTGCCATGCAAACACGAATTTTATGCACGGAATACAAAACATTTTTTGAACAACTGTGAATGTGAATTTACAAAATTGAGATTCCTTACAAAATATTGAATTGTCTATCTTCCAAACAAATTAAAATATCTGATAGAATTGTGGAATCAACTCTTCAAGAAATATCTATAACGTTTCTGTTCAGCAGCCCCATGGGACATCTTCGGAAAGTAATTGTTCAAACTTTTCTATCAATTATTATTCCAATAATGAAATTGATTTATGATGAATAATCAATTAAAATTGACTCTTTTGAAAATGCCTACATTATCATAAAGTAATATCTTATGTTTATTTTGTGAATTATTTTTGGAAAAAGAAAACATTTACGCATCAATATAGAGATTCAGAAATGTCGAGGTTATTTGACTGTTGTACAAAATAGTTAGGTATTTATTATACAAGGGAAAAAAATAATCAACGTGAAATCATTGACTGCCGAATCACCAGACATTCAGAAACCTTTTTCAGCGTCTTATGGAGTCTGGATCCTTTAAAAAAGCTCCAGTGATAGGCAGACCGTTGACTACTAGGACTCTAGAAATTGAAGGAACTGTTCTTCAGGCAATCGAAGTAGATCCACAGACAAGCACGAGAAAAATTGCACAAAATCTTACGAGCCCCATAGAAATAATTCAAATGCATCGATTATTTCAAATTTCAATAACTCAAAATCAGTACAGTGACTCTATAAAACAGTTTCTCGCAGCGACCTCTACCAGGAATATATTTTTTACACCAAAGTGTTCTAGAAATCTATTTTTCTACTATATTACCTGATACAGGTACGCACAAAAGATTTATGACTTTTCAAAAGACTCAAAAGACATGTAGGTGGCGCCACCTTCACGAAAGAGACAAACTAATTTGCCATTGAAAAATACCCCTAGATACCAAATTCCATTCGAATATCACAATTATTTTGAAATTTATTAACAAAAATGAAAATTCAACTTTGACACTCTGTATCTTAGAAACGAATAACTTTCGGACATATATTTATACGAACTTTTCTTCTTATTTTGACGTCAGCAACATGCTCCTGAATTTTCTACACGTACTTAAGAAACACCATGTATATCCGGAAGAAAAGTACTAATTTTTTCTCGTGAGAAAAAAGTAATTTATGAAACGTGACAATTCATAACCTGCCAACAGAGATGAAATGCCAAACTTTTTTCGCTTCACAAAAAAATAACTATCTTCTCCTTGAGATATGTTCATTTTCTTTTACTTTCTACGTACAACGTACAAGTAAGGCCATTCGATAGTCCAAAACATTTTGTTAGTCTAGGACGAAGAAATGCCTTTTCCTAGTCCAACATGAAAAAATAAATTGAAAATAAAAAAATGAAAAGTGTGTTGATTAATACACAACAAAGAAAGTATTAGCACCTCCTCATTCAGTATTTTCTATGTTTGTGTATTTTATCAACACCCTTTTTTTAGTTCCTTAAACTACAATCTATTTTCTATTTTTGCCGTGTCTCTGGATATAAAAACACCATTGTAAAGTTATTCGAAGGAATAAAAACAAACATTGGACATTTTGGTGGAGGAAGATTTTGAAAAATATTAATAATAATTATTGACAAAGCGTTAAACTATACTATTACATATAAAAGAGTTACCTACATGATAAGTAAGTAGAAGTTAATACTACAAATGTAAATATTGGTTTAAAAAGGAATGTATTAAATATGAGAGAAATTATAAAAACACAATATACCTACAATACTACAAACACATTCGATCGAGTCTGGCACCACGGACTCCTCGCCAAGCTTCCATCTTATGGCTTGCCTTCCCAGCTATGTTCTCTGCTAGCTAGTTTCCTCTCCATGTAGTGGTCGACGGAGTTTCATCTGATTCTCTTACCATATACGATGGTGTTCCGCAAGGATCAATTCTAGCACCAACACTATTTCTACTCCATATCAACGATTTGTTGGAAGCAACTTCATGTCCAGTACACAGCTTCGCGGATGATAGTACCCTCCATACCGCCTTCTCTTCCAGGGCTCCAATACCAGCCAGGCAAATCAGAAACGAACGAGGAAGAAATGTTGACAACATAAATATGGACTTGGCAACAATTCTCGAATGGAGATCCAATAACTTGTTAGATTTCAATGCAAACAAAACACAAGTACGCCTTTTCTCTAGAAAAGCCGATCTCACTGTGCCCAACATAAGCTTGTCAGGAGTAACCATACCTTTGAAGACATCCATTTCGATGCTTGGTATTGTTACTATCAGCAATAACCTTTCTTGGGAAAATCACGTGGGATCAATTGCTAAAAGTGCATCCCAAAAACTTGGTTTTCTGTTTCGGGCCAGGGACTATTTCACTTTCAGTCAGCTGCTTATGATCTATAAGGCACAGATCCGACCTGTCCTGGAATACTGTTCCCATATTTGGAGTGCAGCACCCAAAAATACCCTGAAACTGTTGGATTCTGTTCAAAAAAGGGCAATTCGTCTCGTGGGTGATGCCTCGCTCAAAAACCTATACCTACTCACTTCTCTGGAACACCGTAGAAAAGTTGGCGACCTGGCTCTATTTTATAGATATTTTCATGGACGATGCTCTTCTGAAATGTCAACAATTGTTCCTCCCTTGGCAGTCCCCGCGAGATTAACCCGTCGAGTTGAGGCTTCGCACTCCTTCGTGGTCACTTTGGAGACCTGCAGAACATCCCTTTCCAAAGACTCGTTCATTCGACGAACAGCGTGGCTCTGCAACACATTGCCAAGGGAGGTGTTCCTTGAGGCATATAACCAAAAATTTAAGAAGAACATCAATTCCTACCTCATTTCCCTTGGTTCTCACGATGTTCTCTGAACATGAAAAAAAAACGTAATTTATGTCCACCCAGCACTCATTCAGTACCCTGAAGTTGATCTATGTATGATGTATGTGGTTCAGTTTTAGAAATATCTTGAGTGAAAGATAGATTGCTGTCTCGTAGACGTATAGTTAGTTATTACGTAACAATCAAAGTTCAATCTCGCCTATAATACGTATATGATGCGTCTATATCTAGATATACAGGCATTGTAATTTTTTTCAATTTGCATGTTTAATACTCAGTTCTGTGCCATATTTTATTACGACTCTAACTGTATTCAGAATGACAATAATATCATCGATAATTTCAGTATTTAATTAAGGTACTCCTCTATGAAATTTTGATTGCCACTGAAATTTGTATTTGTATTCCAATTTTGAACATCATTTTCTCTTCGCCAAATATGTAGAGAACGTGTTTGAATAGCTCACAAAAATAAAATTGAAAAATTTGGATTTATATGAATATTTAAATAGTCCCGGCTGTGAGACGTATGTTTAGTGTTGATAGTCCAGGGCAGAGAAGACCTATCAATAGTCCAGGAGGAAATAAATATTTTTAGATAGTCCAGTGACCGGATGCAGTGTCCAATTGACAATCGCGATTTCAGATTTCATCAGTTTCCGACCCATAGACAAGTTGCACCTTACATGGAAGTGTGTGTATTGATGCGGTACGGTACTACCACAGCCGGTGCCTGCCTCGTTGGATAGATTATGGTGGGAGGCCAGAGGCCACCGGAGGAATGTCTCGCTGCCTGCGATCGGTTACGGGTTCGTGGGTTCGTCTTTCTGTGTGTTTCTGTGTTGTTGGTTGCTTTTGCTTGTTCTTATTCACGAGTGGATTTCAGAACGGATTGGCTGGCCTCGCCGGCATATAGGTAGTCGACGACAAAGAGAAACTCGCCGCAATTTTGAAAGAGTTCGCTTTTTATTCTTTTTTTGTTTCTATATACTTTCGTGTCGCTGTGCCGTGAAACGTGTAGTGTTTTTGTTTTGGTGATTTTTTTGTATGACCAGTTGAATTACTCATTTCCTGGATTAGAGAACTTATATTCATGCAGGTTAGTCACCTTTTATATTCCTCCAAAAATTGTGAGTGGTCATTCTTCTCCATCTCCAATACCATTCATAAAGTAGCTGAATTGTACGTGCACGTCATGGGGAGATTTTGAAAAAATTATGCAGCAGTTTCATTCTTAGATATAACCTATATAAATTCACATTCATTCCGAATTTTCTAAATGTCAAACGGTTTGTACAAAGTTTTTAATGAATCATTAAAAAATATTGGAAAAAACTCGGAAAAACTTCATGATACAAATAAATATCGGGACAAAAAGGGAAACTTAGTAAAGTATCTACTTCTCTAAGTTCTCAATGAAAACACTGTATACAAGGGGGTTCAGTTTAAACGTCATTAAAATTTTTATAGGTGATGAAATATCAACAAGAAAAGTAGAGTTTCATGAGAAAACTTTGTTAAAAATTGTTTTCTAACAAAGATTCACGCTGACGACAAATAGAAACATTGCTGCAGTCGAAGCACTTTGACAGAGTCAATTTTTTATTGTTTTTTTTATACTTTCGTGCTGCTGTCTGCTGTGCCGTTGAACGTGATGTGTTTTTATTTTGGTGTTTTTCGTTCATATGACCAGTTGAATTTCTCATTTCCTGGATTATAGAACTTATTTTGACTCATGTTAGTTTCTTAGAAAAATTGTAAGGGGTCATCAGATTCGACATTCGTCCCAAATATCACTCGTATGCAGCCTCGTGTGTAGCTGAATTGTTCATTCATCTATGGTTCAAGTCATCGGTTGATTCAGAACTGATTTGGAAAATTAAGTGAATCAGTTTCATGATTAGATAAGGTCACATTAACATATAGTCGATACCTATATATCATCAGACATCAACATATTTTAAATGTCAAAATGGTTTGTACCGAGGTTTGTACTCGTGGGATTTGTAAAAAAAATTAATAATAATAATAATAATAATAATAAATCGTCTTTATTCATCATTTGCAGAAAAAATCGCACAAATAAAAATCAAAAGACAAATATAATTTTCCATACCTTATATACCTATCTGCAATGATGAATAGGCGGAGTATCAGCAGAAAGCTGTTTTTCAACTCAACCCCAATTGACGACTGTGTTATTAAAATATATAGAAAAAAACATTCATGAAACAAATTGATATCGGGACAAATAGGGAAACTCGGTAAAGTACTAGGTAAAAGTACTAACTTCTCCTTCAATTATCACACACATCTGTAGGTATATAGCGGTATATAGGGTGATCCATGTTGAACGTCGATCATTAATATTGAAACGTGTATTGATTTTGTATTTGTGTTTTTTTTGTATGACCATTTGCATTTCTCATTTCCTGGATTATAGAATTTATTTTCACGCAGGCAGGTCGTTAGTGAAGCAGTTTCATGCTTAGGTATCAGTGCTTATAGGTATAACCCAGCCAACACATCTGTGACTTGACATCTCTGAGATGTCGCGTTTAGGTAACAGAGCGATATCACAAACGTTCTATCGCTGCGATGACATCTCTGAGATGTCGCGATGAGGCAACACTGCGATATTACGAATGTTCCATCGCTACGATGTACAGAAGCAAGCACATCTGCGACATGACATCTCTTAGAGGTCGCAATTATTCAACACTGCGATATTACGAATATTCCATCGCAGCGATGTATTCATTGAAGCAAACACATCTGCAACATTAATTCTCTGAGATGTCGAGATGAGGTAACACTGCGATATCACGAATGATACTTCGCTGCGATGTACAGAAGCAAAAAACTCATATGCTTGAAGTTTTCAAAAATTTTTTATTTAGATTTGTGTTCGGTGAAAAAAAAATCATACATGAATATATATGTTACTCAACAAAGTGAACAGATCTCATTCTGATAGAGATTCGTAGGTACACTGGTCTTCAGTGAACATTGGACGGTATGAGCGCTCTTATTGCAGTGGTAATTAACAGAGCTAACACCGGCCATGTGCGACATGTTCTCTGAAGACGACTGTACCAAGGTTAGTGCCGCTGAAAAAACGATTGTATGGACAGGACACCCGAGGGACCAACCAGTCACAACAACACATTATCAATATTCAGAAGTTAGTGGTGTACCAATTATCACACCATGTTTGGGGAATCATTTTTTTTTTTCGTTTCAAAACATCGATTTTGCATCACAAAAAACATAGCATAAAATATATCGCTGTTATGTCACAGAGAACTTATCACAACGACGTTGCGTGGATGGTACTTGAGTGGGACAAAATAGCATCCCTCTGACATCGCAGCGACGTCTATGCGACATAGAATGCGATATCATAGGTCACAATTGTTACATCGTTGCTATGCCTCTGTGATATAACTGTGTTGCTGGGAAGTTCACATTAACATAGCACCAGACGATTATTCAAAATTTTTGGAATGTCAAACGTTTTGCAATGCAAAGTTTTGATTGTATCATTAAAACATATTGAAAAATCTTCATGAAAAAAACAAATATCAGGACAAAAAGAAAAACACAAGGCAAGGCCTTCTTAAACAATACTGGGGGCCCTATTTTAGGGCCATTTGGGAAAGTCAAGATTTATTATGGGTATTAATCAAATAAATAATAAGAATATAATCAAAAATTTTGACTGGTGTACAAACAACTGGAATTCCTTGGAATTCCCTGGATTTTCTTGGAATTCCTTGGATTTCCCTGGAATTCCCTAGAATTCCTTGGATGAAGAGCGGTATATTGCTGTTCTACAAACAACTGGAATGCCTTGGAATTCTTTGGATTTCCTTAGAATTCCTTGGAAGATCTTGGATTTCCGTTGCTTTCCTTGGAAGTTTTTAGATTTCCTTGGAATTCCTTGGATTTCCTTGGAATTTCTTGGATTTCCTTGAAATTCCTTGGATTTCCTTGGCGTTTCTTGGAATTCCTTGAACTTTCAACTATCTAAAATTATATGATGAGATATGATGGCTTACCTAGGCAATAGGAATTACCAGAAGAAAACCTCAGATATATAGTGTGTGCCACATCCTCTTAATTTGAATGCCGATTGCCGATAAAAAAATACAGATTTCTTTAGGTGTGACTTGTATACGTATACGCCGTGTTAACGATTTTCATAATTAAATGAAATGTGTTTTCCCGTTTTTATGACTAGTTTCTAATGGTATATATAATAACGAATGAATTTGTAGTAAACACAGTCATGAAAAATAACCTTGCTTTTCGCATAATTTTTTCGTGTTCGCACTATGTCATTCCCTAGAATGTTGTTATTTTTTAGTTATCGTATTTCGCAGTAAGCCGGTCTACAGAGCGGTCTACCCACCAGCACAATGGATTTGCATTTTCGAATACTTATATAGGGTGACCCGAAATTACATCGGAGGATTTCAACCACAGATTCTAGGAACATAATAAATAATATAAAAAGTTAATATACAGTGTGTCCACCTTAAGGACTTACCACCCCTGTGAAATTGTTATTATCTGACCGATTTCAAAAAACTTTTTTTTGTTGTATAGGTATTTGAAATGTTCATCCAACAAGAGAGTGATTTTACTCATGAACTGTAATCGTGGCCAACTGCTACCAACTTTATTGACCCATATTTGAGAAAGTACTATTAGGGATTTTTTTTCACAAAAAACAATGATGGATTCTGAATCACGATCACTTGAAAAACACCTTTATTGATTTTTATCATCATAAAACACAGGGTGTCCAAAAAAACGAATTATGTTTTTTTTTTAATAGGTGATCAGAAAATGTAGTATTAATTGTGGTATTTTTGACAAGAATTGATGACACATTATTATTGAGGATCACTTTGAACATATCTGTACCGATTTTCATCATTCGAAAATACGATGTGTATGAGAAAACAATTAAAAAGAAAAAGTAGGCAATATTTTTTCATCAACTCAAAAAAAACATTAATTTGATTTTTCGAACACCCTTTGATTAATGATGATGAAAATCGCTACAGGTATGTTCCAAGTGATCCTGATTCATGTTTTTATTTTGAGTGAAGAATTATCAGGATGAAAAATATTGCTTACCTATCCATTTTAACTTTTTTCTCAGGCACATTGTATATTCAAATGACGAAAATTGGTACAGGTATATTTGAAATACTCCTCAATGATAATTTGTGATTATTTCTTTCTAGAAAAACCACAGAACTGCATTTGCTGATCACTCGGCTGATCACCTATTTGAAGAAGAAATTGACAACCTGCGGACATTGATCAGAATATCAAAACATTTTGAATAATATCGGTTTACTAATGATCTTTAAATTTCAAAGCCTACCAAGTGTCGATATATCATCGAATTCATGTCACAGCCAACTTATTCTTTTTGAATAAAAAGCAATTCAACAGCGAATTAAGAAATAAATGCCACTTTGTGATACATGATTGGATAGAGAATTTGAAGGTGAAAAAGATAGACTTAAGAAATGTACAGGGTGACATTTGAAAAAAAAAAGTTGGGGTCGCTTCCGGTCAAACAGGTGGTTGAAAAAAATTGTCGTCAAGTTCGTAGAGTGCGCTACCATTTATTATATAACCCCTGTGAATTTCGAAATTTTATCTCTTCAAATAAAAAAACTACAGGCTGCTACATGTCTCCTGTGTCACCCGGTATAATATGTGATATACAGTGTCATTCATAAAGTCGGCATCATATGGGAAAAAACTTTTATTAATGACTTATTTTGAAATTCGAGTTGGCCGTTAAGTTTTGCTTCAAAAAAGATGAAAAATGGCCTACTCAATCGGGGTCACGTGACTTTCCCTACATGTCAAAAGTGACATTTTTTCAAAATAATCGCTGAAAGTATGCTTATTTGTTCGAATATCGAAAAAGTTCACTTGAAAAAGTTGTTTCTATTTACATTTTACATATGTGACTCGGATTTTATCTTTCTATTACATTTTTTAGATTTCGATATTTTTTTAAAATTTTCGAAATTTCTGTAATATTAAAAAAATTGTAAATTCGATAAA